GTCAAGTCCTACGCTTATAACTAGTATCAACAACCCCTCTCGGATACGTAATATTGCTGTCATAGGCGAAAGCTCGGAAGCAGCCGCCGCTCCAATACGAGGGATTTGCAAGGGACTCCTAACGCCCTTTGCATGTATTAAGACGCTAATATGATTTGACATGGCTAGTTCTTTCAGTAATGCACTACAAAGCCTAAGAACCGGCTAAGAAGTGTTCGGTTTCTAGCAAGACTTCTAGAGCTAGGGCTTGCTGTGTTTTCACCCTTAGCTGTCGTACCGAGCAACAATCCTGTCCAGCGTAAGAGGCGCGTTTGATAATGAATCCAGAGACGAAAAAGTAAAACAACTCGGAAGTTTTCATATACAAACGTACGTGGGTGTTCCCATTATTCGTCGTGGCAACACGTCACCCCACCACAGCCCCTATTCATATATCGCTCCGAGTACCAACGATCAAAGTCTTGAAAGAAGGTATTATATTTAACCCTGCGATATCTCCAATCCCGACATAGTTATTTAGACCTCATATGCCTCTCGGACATGTTATATACGGAATGCGCCATGGAGGTGGACATTGGCAGAGAAATAAAGACTAGGGGTATATTAGTAGCTTCGACGCATGATAATGCGGGATTTAGGACTATCTTTCGTAAGCTACAGGGATTCAACTTCGAATAAAGCAAGGTGGTTGCCTAATGGGGTCAATTATACTCGCGTTGCTTAATACGCGTAATAACAGTATGGTTTGCATATTTCGATCTAAACCACCCCTATGGTGTTCATATCGGGACCAATTAACAAAGAGAAGTTTTTTTTTGCTGGAGTATATAGTGTAAGTGGAATTGCAGTATATACTGTACCTTGTAAGTTGTATAGAATGGGTAGTATTTAAGGCGTCGCTTAAGTGACAAGTAGTGACAAGTAGTGACTAGATATGTACTGCTGATCGCACCCTGTATTTAGACGGTGTTAGATTGCAACTACATCTCGCTTTGACATTGATAGGACTTATCGTGGAGGTCCGTGGGTACTTAGATGGATTCGAATTACTGGAGTTAGTGAGATCTATATGATCTTAATATGATATAAACAGGTAGATTGCCCGAGATAGTTTAGTGGTCAATTGCGGCTGCTGACTTACTCAACTACCTATGTATACTTAATTTGTACACCCACCCCAAATATCGATTCCCTCGAGTAATAAAACAGAGAAAACGACGGTGGTAGTACTAGATATATTACCAGTTCAACCGTTAGGTTTAAAACAAGCTCAACCTGATGATAAGACTAAGACATCCCTTAATATTATCTCCTATGAGAACTACCTAAAGTATTGTTATCAGTAAAGGTACATATAACTTCAGGGGCTTATTCCTAGTTTTCCCCCTAGTCCTGTACTACCAAGGCAGGTTTCAAAGTCTTGTTTTCTATATTTCGTAAGAATTATATAGATAGAGATAATAGAGATTAGAGCTATAATTGCCAATATCTATTAATCGAAGTGACTTAAGTTAATACTTGGCTTTCGAGTAGTAGGTTTTAGAAGGATTCTCAAAGGCTAATGAAGGGCTATTTAAATTCTCGTAATTATACCTTTTATAATGATGGTATGAATAGAAGTGAACAAATAGTAGATATACCCGTCAGTTCCTGTAGTGTTGTACGTTTTTATATCAATGTATTCATGAGATTATTAGTTATGGCCTGTTACTTCATGGACGTCCGAACTAACCCGTAGGGTAGTCCTACCTTCGTCAACCACGACGAAGGAGCATACGAGTTCTATCCATCTAGCTTTTTGAAAAGATTTTATCGGGCAGAGCGGTCTAATATTCGGGAACTATATATACGTCATTTATGACATAGCCTTTTGGTAGACAATGATACCAAATCTAATGGATACCTAACCTAGGTTGGTGTCCAATATAGGGTATAATGGTATCAAGGAAACCAAACTTACCTAAATATAACTAATTGTCTTTAATACTATAACAGTATACATAAATGGTTAAAGAGCCCTAAGATTCTATAAATATCCCTAGGTTTATACATATTGTGAATCCCATTACTGAACTACTAGCTTGCTAGATGCTACCCGTTGCCCTTACTATGTATGTGCCTCGACCTCAAGTTAAGGGCTACCTGCATACCAATAACGTACTCTTTCCGCGAGTATTCGAGGCCACCATTTTATTTACAGTAAAGTAAGCCAAACTTTGCCCTATACCATATATACATATCCCCCTTTTCAATATTACATTACTTCTCAATAGATAGGACTTTACTCATTTTCCTTGACGAGCTGTCTGTGGCCGTGCAACAAACTCAATATCAACCTCTGTTGTCCGTACAATACCATTGTACGTCATGATTTCTTCTTCGCTGGTTGTCGGTGATTGACTCCGTATCTCTGTCCGCCTCTTCATGTCTCTAAGAGCAAAGGACGGCGTGCCGTAGAGATGATCTCCCTTAGAGTTGTTTCCGTTCCCGTTAGTTTTATTGGCATTCCCCGTATCGTTTGATGTATAAGGACCGTCTCGGTAACGGTAGTTCTGGTTCGAAGCTCCACGGAGAGAGGAGAAAAACCGAGGGAACCAAACCATAAATAGGGGCCGTAGTGCTGGTCCTGATGCTGTTATTATCGCCAAGTTTGTTTCGACGGCGGAATAGGTAAATCGAATATCGTACGAGTAGTCGTATTTCATCGGGTACAGACAAGTCTCGATGAGCCATAGCATCCGAAGAATACTAACCACAGTAACGCTAAGAAAACTTGTCAGTTTCCAGGCTTCGAATTTGTTTAACTGTGGATATGATGACTTACACGGCTCCCAGTAAGAACACGACCATTATGGCGAACTTGATCCTGGGCGCCATTTTCAATCCCATGAATATCCAGAAAGGGAGGGCCAGAACGAGCACATCAGTGAATATTGTCAATGCCGCAGTCGTCACGTAGAATATCCCAGTATCGATACATTTTCCTTGCATAGTTGGATTGGTGATACGTTCCCAGAAATATGATATCGGAGAGCACTGGAAGACCGCAGTCACGAAGATTGCGATCATCAATCCAAGTGTGAACATATTGAGGGCGTGAATCGCATATCTGACCTGTCGTTTCTGCCCCCCTATTCGTAGGAGGAACGTCAACACGGAGCACTTGACAAGCGCGAGTATCGGGTTATATAGAATCTGCAACACATAGTTCCAATACATTCCGAGGCTGACATCGGCTGTCATCGGAATATCGTAGACGTGGACTCCTAGGTATGCCGTTCGCATGCCTGTCGCGGAAAAAGTTAGTCACGTCCGTCGCTCCGTATGACTTGTAGGCAAGCCAATCCCCGTCCTAGTACATACCCATATAGGAAACACCCGTCTCGGCGATCGAGAACAACTTGATTTATGTGAGCCACGATATATTAAATAGTAAGGAGTCACCTCTTACCATAGCCACGCATGCCAGGCCATCGTCTGCGAAATGCAATTAGCCACCGATCAAGGAGAAGAACCAGATATTCGATAAAACCCCACCCCTGACTTGCTGTTCTATTAGACAACTTACCCCAGCCAAACTGCCTGCTTCTTACTCTTCCATAAACCCTAAGTACCACGACAATCAACGCGATGGCTGGGGAAAAGAACAGAATGAATAAACCGCCATGCTGGAAGGGCGAGTACGGATAGTCGTCGGTAACGGCCCCAGAAGGCTTGCCTATCCCCTCACCGGACTGTCGTTTAACCACGTCCGATATAAACTCATATAGAGAAGACTCCATTTCTTTGCAAGCTGCTAGTTACGCCGCAGATCCGTTTGGCCATACAGAGATTAAGTGGCATCGTTTGAGCTGCAAAGACGGCATCCTCTATATAACAATATAGCCCTACATATTCGGACAGATTACGCAGCATGCAGTTTGCATCCAGGGGCAGCTCCGACGAGTTTGCATACACCATAACGTTTTCTCGTTCGACAACGGTTCTGAATTCAGCCTCTTTGTTCCACCACACATCCCTATTTGGTTAAAAGCAGTCACTTTATTAGAATTGGTAAAGCATGGACGGGATCTTTCTGCAGCCAAGATGTTTTATATGAACTACTATATGATTCTTTGAACGTGATTGCTTGTGTGTGTGTGTTGATTTCAACAGCATTGACCTGCAAGGTAACGGATAGCTAGCGCCTTCGGGCCTATCCGAATTACTGGTTATTATATCTACTAGCAAAGACTTATACTCTAGTCTTTCTAACTAAGCGGACAGGATTTAGATCCCGCTAGGCTAGATCATAGAAAGGGGCCGTGAACCATGATAGAGGACATCCGAAAGAACAGCATAAAATGAATCCATGTGCCGTGTTTACAAAGCCAACAGCGATTATCTTATAAGCGCGCGCTCAATCTGGTGCGATTTACCTTCGTGACCAGGAATGTTGCTTATACGTAGTATTACCGATGCCGGTCTTCGAAATCAGCATTCTCAATGGTCAGCTATCGAATAACAACCGAGATTCGACTTTCTATAGCGTCGTAGCGCAGGGGAAAGATTGGTCACCACGGCATTATCGTTGCGAAGATCACAGGGATATAATGCGGAGGATGAGCTTAGCTCCTGCAAATCTAGAACACGACCCGTCTTTGTAGTATATTATTCATGAAGTTATACCTGGGGTAAAACTCCCTGCGTCGGGGATTGCATCTCGCAACGGCTTAACAGCACTTGTCTTATTCGTCGCCCATTTTATCCAGACTACCCGCAAATGCAACCGGCCTGCAAGGGTCCAGGCAGAATTCAACATTCTCTTCTTCACGGCTTTGTCGGGACGAGGAAAGATATTTCCTATCGTATATTAGCAAACATGGTCGCGTATTTGGCCACTTCAACTGATATTTACCAGGCCTGGTATTTTTCTGTGAGGAGGAATCCAGGTTATTGAGACTGCTTACAGATCATCAGTATCAACCAATAACCATTTATCAATTTGTTTATACTAACCTTCCCTACAAAAGTGAAAATATGATACCTTTAGATGTAATGTTTACTATCTCGGCCCTGCAGCTCTAGGTAGCCTAGCTAGGGCTCTTACCAAATTATACCTATCTGCGGGTCGTCGGCAAAGCTGTCGGGTTTTGCCCGTCTTCCTAAGCTGTCTGGACCTCATGTAAGGGATCTGCAGCTACTGTAGTACTTAGCTGGTGAGCGAGGTCGTTCATCCATGCTTGATGCTCTGGCCACGTAGACGGACGAAGTTACCTAGCCGGCATTGCTACCGGATTCGAAGGTATATCGTAAGATACATGAGGCTATATGAAGTATATACGGCAATGATGGGCTCGTTCTATTCCATCTATCTAGTGTGCCTAGAGTCTCTTATTCATCCTAAGCTGTACCACTTAAGCTCGTGCTGGCTCTCTGGGTACGTGTAGCGCCGATGTCTTGCCTTAGGAAAGCCGTTGCGGCTACTCTCTTAGCTCACGTGCTACCCTTCGCGTATTCCCAGACAATTGTCATAGACAACTCAACAGTTCGTTAGTTTATGAAATCCACAGCCAGCGCGAGAGATAACAGCTAACTCCTTCATCAGCGGCCAACGAGTCTACAGTTGCCCCAGCCGTAGCTATAGTCGACGCGAGGACCTCAAATTCAACTGCGGAACTGTTCAAAGGAGAGACCCTGCAGCTGACTGATGCCGTCTTGGCCAACCTTACTCACCTACAACTGACCAATGTCACGTTATTCAGCTTCCAGAACGAGTCGGACTTGGCAGAGAATCCACCTAAGCGGCCTTTGTCTGGATTATGCAAGACATATCCAGACGACCCCTATTGGCCTTTTCCATCTACTTGGAGGCTCTTCAATATCCTACTCGGTAGCGGTTTAACCGAGACCGTCCCTTATGCGGCGTCTTGCTATGATACCTTTGGGAATCGTAACACGTCCAAATGCGATTTCATCACCAATAACTGGGTCAATGCATCCATCTACCAGTATGATCACGTATTAATAACCAAGAGCGGATGTTTTACTTACAACTAATAGCACTGAGGATCCTACATCTGTTAATGCTGTGCTGTTTCAAGGGGCGACTTGTATGCCACCAGCATTTGTGCCTTCGAAGAGTGGATGCACAGTCGGTGGGTATCCCACCTACTCAGTGTCTATCCGCAATGTCGCGCAAATCCAGCTGGCGGTCAATTTCGCACGGAATCTTAATCTGCGTTTGGTGATCAAAAATACCGGCCACGACTTCAGCGCCAAGTCGGTTGGGATGGGGGCACTGTCCATCTGGACTCATAACCTGAAAGACATCCGATTCTTTAAGAACTATAAGCAAGGGCGTTACAGCGGCCCTGCTTTCAAGCTCGGTGGCGGTGTTCAGGCTTTCGAGGCGTACGAGGCTGCTAGGAAGAAAAATGTCACTATAGTTGGTGGCGAGGGTCGCGTAAGTTTTACAAACCCCTTAATAGTTATTAAGCCAATACTAATCGCGCTCCGCAGACCGTGGGCGTCATGGGTGGTTTTCTTCTTGGTGGTGGCCATTCTCCCTTATCCAGCCTCTACGGCATGGCCGCCGATCAGGTACTCTCGATGGAAGTGGTTCTGGCTAGTGGCCGGTTCGTGACTGCAAGCGAAACAAGTTATCCCGACCTATTCTGGGGTTTGCGCGGCGGTGGGGGGTCAACCTTTGGTATAGTTACATCAGTTGTCGTCAAGGCGCATCCGAAGACCAAAGTTACGACGATGACATATATTCTGGCGACAGGACCAACAGTTACGTCCACACAATTTTGGGCCGCTTTGCGCGCGTTCTTTGATGGCTTCATCACATATACCGATGCTGGCAATTATGAGTACTTCCGAATCTCAAAGGTCGGGAACGATCAATATCTTTCTGATATGGGCCCGTGGTTCGCCCCTGGGATGTCTAAGTCTCAGCTCGAAGCCCTAGTAGCCCCATTGTTTGCTAAATTCAAAGAACTTGGTATTGAAGTTAACCCGGTCTACACGGAGTACGACGACTTTTACGACGCGTGGCTCCCGAGTTTCCCCGTCGAACCATGGGGAAGCAATGCAATTCGACAGGCTAGTCGTTTATTCCCGAAATCCAACTGGCAAGACGTCGCGAAGCTGAATGCTACCTTTGATGCTATCAAGAGCGTAGTTGAAGAAGGCGCGTACATAATAGCATTCAACATTGCCGCCGCCCCCAAGACTGGGTATCCTGATAACGCGGTAAATCCAGCATGGCGAAATACTGTTATGCATGCTATTATGGCCTCCTTATGGAATGCTACCAATGCCGACTTGGATATCAAAGCTGCAAGCGATAAACTGACCTTCGACTGGATGCAGCGCTGGAGAGATGTATCACCCGGAGCTGGGTCATACATGTCGGAGGCAGACTACATCGAGCCTGACTTCACCCAAGCATTCTTCGGGGATAAATATCCGAAACTATATCGGCTCAAGCAACGATACGACCCATTCGGCGTCTTTTATGCTCACACGGCTGTCGGGTCTGAAGATTGGAAGATGTCCGAGATGATACTGGGGAATCTACCGTCGCAGAATAGTAAATTATGTAAAATTTAGATTGTTAGAGTATGTAGACCCGGTAGACCAGCGGTTGGTTCTGCCGCTTAGATAAAATTTGGTTTACTGTCTATCATGGAGGAGGAAGGAAATTGTATGTATTATGTACGAAGTACCTAAACTTCTTATACTTGCCTGTCTATTCAATCTGCCGTTTAGATTTTTACCTATTTATATTCGGCGATGGTGAGGAAGTTATGTAAATACCTAATATGTATATGTAACGATGTAATGAGAGTAGAAGTTGACGTCTCCATGAGTGTATGTACATAGGTAGGTCAATGCCGTCCGAATACGTACCAGAAGAAGCGGGGTAAACAGGATGTATAGTACGCAGCAATATACTGAAAAATAACGCAAATTTCTGTCACGGTGAGATGGCCGAGTTGGTTATGGCGTGAGGTTAAGGTCACCTTAATTCCTACATCCTCATGGAGCAATCCGCGTGGGTTCAAGTCCCACTCTCATCACAATTTATTTTTTACCTTTTTACCCTTTCACCTTTCAACGTTTTGCAAGTGTCTTCATTTTATCCCACCATCAACAATTTTCGGCTACAATTTTCCCACTCACGTTTCTACGCCTCATAGTGGAGACTACACTATTAGCCACGACAACTTCCAAATGATAATTTTTATTACATCCTATCCAAGATCAGGAATGTCACAACGCGCAATGTTTCGACTAGAGTTTAATTAGAGCGCAGTTCGGCTAATAGGAGTTTATTTTCAAGAATTGACTCTGTTTGCCTAATGGAGACTATCCTAGATCGCGCGGGTAGATTTCCAAAAGCATCTATCATACTGTTCTTAATAAAGTGCAGTGCGTGAATAAGCCAAGTTGAATAAATTTAGGCTACCGAGGTAGTCAAGAAATATTGAAGTAAGTAACAATAGCAAAAGGTTAAGAAACCCAATCTTCAGTATCATTATTCCTATATCTAACGCTACTCGGACAGGATTTGCCAAGAAACGTCCCCATCAGCATCTCTATCAAATTGACCATCCGGGATGACATATGATTCTGCCAAGCCGGCCCAGGTACCAGCTGTGTAAAGGTAGGCTGGTTCATTCTGTGCTCGTGCAGGATTCTCCTCATCCAGTTCGTCGTCATAAGAAAATTCAGGGAGTGTGGGTTTGGCGAAGGTTGCATGGTTCTCACTAGGATCCCACGACCATACACCTGAATCCTTTCTGCGGTGTCCTCTGTAAAAAGGAGGGGGTTCGCTTGATAGATTGTTCAAAGTATGCGTCGAGAGGAGCATTGGATCGACGTTTCGAATATTAGGAGAAAATGCAGTAGTAGTAGTAGCAGCAGCAGCAGCAGCAGCAGCCGTATTTGCATTTTGTCTTGCGTCAGGACGCGGCTCTTCGGCTTTCTTCTGTTCATATAGTGACTCCAGTCCTTTTACAAACTGCCAGCGAAGGACCGACATTTGAAATCCGGGTAAGTGGTCTAGGCCTGGTCAGCGTAGTAAAGGGGTAAAGGGCAATCCAGCATGTTATTGTTTTACTTACAGGGCCCTTGGATCTCAATCTTTGGGTCAGGTCCCCATAACGCACAACATATTTTCTTGTAGCATTGAGAAGGGCTCCCTTTATCCTTTTGGAAGTTGAGCTGCCCATACGCTTCATCTTGATCCTTGTCCATCCATTCGGCATCTAATTCTGTCAAGCTTTTGGTCGGCTGTGTGCAATTGGCCATATGCCTCCGTTTTATTTCACCAACTTCCTCCTTTTTTGTTTTGTTAAACCTCATGAGACACTTTTCGCAGCCATTCCATAGACAGTGTACTCTCTTGATATGCTCCCTGGGAAATTTCTCAGCATAAGCACGTTAGATAATCAGAACAGCAACGAATAGTTGGGTAGGTACTCACGTTAACTTCCCAATATTCTTAAAACCAACACCAGCCGTACATGAGTTCTTAACACGAAGATATCGGGCGGGATTATGCTTCCAGAAAGGGCAAGCTAGATACTCCTCGTGTTCTTCGTCGTCCGTCAGCTCGTTAACTTTGGAGTTAAACAGGTTAACTATATCTGCCAAAGGAGCTGCTGTCGCCCCTATACTAGGGAGAAGTGAATCGCATGGGAGGGCCCCGCTCCCACATCTCCTGTGTCTCCTGGCCGGCACGTTCAGTGTATCGGCCATGTTTTCTCTTCGCTATGACCTAGGGTTTATTACGCTCTCGATTTCGGCGAGCTTTCCTTGGACCCTTTCTGTGCGTTCCCCTTTAGGTACTTTTACTTTTCGATCAAATACGTCGTCGACAAGCTTCACGGATATTGGTGGAGTTGGACAACGCATCCAACGTTCGATGCCTTTCGACCCTTCCTGATCTTCTGGAGAGTCGGCAGAATACACGCTCTCCTGATAGAAGGGTACCGGCCGGCTACGCAAAAGCATCAGCGCCACGCTGGTAATGGTAACAGAATGAAAAATGCCCAGGCGGGAGTTATAACAAGACGTCTGAGTTAACGCAAGACTTCAAACAGCCATTGAACCGTACCTATTGTTGGGGAGTTGTGTGTTCATTTGGCATTGTAGTTCTACGCCTTGTGTTTTGGATTGTTGAGGTAGAAAGGATAGTATTTGTGATAATTCTAGAGAAAGAAGACGGATATTTATGTGTGTGATCAATTTCCCCAGTCATCATCGCACATGCGATTCTAAAAACGGGAATCCAGTCTCACATGTCCAGCAATACCCTACACATTAGTTCTAGCCTTATTGGGTATTCCGACTACGTACTATGAGTGAAATTGTATGCGGTTAGTCTTTCTGTGGTGTTTTCGTTGATATTGAGCAGGTGGGTCGGTTTGGATAGGGTGTTTCAGCCCCCTATCTCATACTGGGAATCATATGCGCATATACATATACGTTATAAATACGTCTTAACCTTGAACTAGATAGTTTAAAAGATATTAAATTTCTAAAGGACCTTGGTGCTTTAGTTAAATACTGTTTATGGAACAGGTACTAATACTCAAACTAGGAGCTCTCTACATTTGATTAGGTATCTTGAGTAACCAAACGTGACCAGTAACAAGTATGAAATGTGAAATGGCTCTTAAAATAAATTTATGCTCAAGACTATTATGGATTTGGTGTTTTACAAAAGCTCTGGGGATTCTTTCTCTTGGTGGAATTATAGTTGGGCTTAAAGTCAAAGGCAGCAGATCGGAGCGGTTTAATGAGAGTATAGTGCAATTCTATAGGTTAGAGTATAAGACTCATACGCAAATGAACATTGATAATTCAATAATTTATTTGAAATTGTTTTAGCAATCGTTTTATGTTTGCTTTCCCTAGACAATGCAGCAAAATACCAGCAATGTCTACCAAGACGGAGTACCGCACCATATGTGTTATGACTCCAGGCATTCTATTCATAACAAGTCATTTATGTGATGGCCTGGAATAAGTCGCAACGTGGCTAAATGCCCTAAATGTTAACCTGAGGATAGACCTCAGTCCTCGATTCTTTAAGTCCCTGTAGAGAAGACCGGGAGGAGGTATAGTTGAGCCACCCAAAGACACCAAAGCTTCCACGTGATCTCATCATATGAAGGCTCCCGACGAAACATAGTTATCAGTAAAGTCGTTCCCCTCCCCTCATGAATACTGTTAGTATCCAAGCAATCGTTGAATTTGTATTCCAAAATGCTAGGCAGATTACTGACCAGAGAGAGACTAATATCACCACAGCCGCTCGTGCCCGACCTTCCCCCTATATCAAGAGCATTGCGCTGTATTGGGCCAGAATTTGCACCGTCTAGGTCATTACATAACCAGAGAAGAATCATAATCATCGCGCTAAGAATAAAGCTTCCGTGATTTAGTAAATACGCCGTATTTCAGTCCCTACTAAAACAGATATTAACAGAAACATGCCTGACTAATAGTTATCGAATGAAAAAGTTTATTATATATGACAGTTTATTCAAGAGGCTGCTATAACAGTAATTATTAACTTTATAGTGCTTTTATATATATTAGCTTTATTCTCTCTGCTATTCTAAATACTTTTCCTTACTAGATGAATTCGCCCGTCCGCTCATTATTACCTTTACTTTCCTCTTCCCTATCGAGGGCTCGCGTTTCATATTAACAATGATCATTTACACATACTTTTGATCTATATTTCACGATGCACTATGCTACGTAATATATGAATTTTCACTTCTTAACCGATCGAGCATGTCCGTACGGAAGTTCAGAAATTCTCTTAATAGTCTTTGATTGGACATATCGTTTACTGTGTAACACTCGCGCTTGAGGTCGAGGACATAGTACATACTTATATAGTGGGGATATGTAGGTACTCTTACATAAAAACAAGTCATTCAAGCCATTTTCCGAACGAGATCTTAGTAAATATGTGGTAGCAAGACTTAACATTATGGGCCAGATACCAAATCCCTGCCTGGGTCTCTAAGAGATAAACGTAGGTAGATCTGTGACATTATTTTCATCAACCAATCAGAATCCACAATCTTAGAAAGACTTACCGAACTGAGCAACTGCCGGCTCGGATTATCACGTGCCGCCGGGCAAGTCACTGGGGACTGAGGGATACCTCACGCCAATGCTTTGAGAAGACGTTGCATGAAGTATGTTGCATTGTGTTGATAAGTTATGCATAGAGTGAGATGTCGTCACAAAGAAATGTGTTCATGAAATAAGCTTTCGATGATGATCTCCCGCGCCCTGGATCTCTGGGTCATCACTTATAAATATTAATGAGTAGGGTATATAAATGGTAGTTAAGCATAGAAACTTCTCCGACTTGCGTCATATTACGAATCCATATTCTTGCAGTGATTAGGTTGATGATTCAAAATATTGAGCCACGAAGCATCATGCAACGACACCGGCAATGCCCCTGGAACAGACGGTAGGTAATAAAGTCGCAGATTGCCAATTGTAATTATGTCGACTGGGAATAAGAGCGGTCGACGGTCGGCGGTCGGTCTTTGATTCTGGCGACAAGTTTATTTGATCACAGCAATACAGTGTTATGACGTACTACATGAGAAAAAAACCCATATGCCGGTAGGCCCACTGCGTTAAAACATATCCTTAATTTTGCTGTTACTGTAGCAAACTAACAATCTGGTATCCAGTGGAAACTTATGGCAATTCTACCTTAGGTAGGTATGCAAGAGGTTGGACGCATAGTTCGTCAGTGGCTGTGGTCGATTAGGATCTGACCTGCGTTACTTACTATATGTCTATATGTATGTACACTATGCTAAGCTCCCGAGGTTGCCAAGAGTCAAGCTTTAAAGGGTTTACCGCCTCCTATCTCCAAGAATGTAGGGTTCTAAAAGATCTATGATGATAAATGGGCTTAGGGGGGCTGAAGTATTGCTCTACAATAGGTAAGAGATACATCCTGTGATTTGGCGGGTTGGTTTAGTCGTCACCTTTTGTGTAAGCGGCGTCGACACCCCTTTACATAGCCCCACTATGGCGGGAGTCCAAGGCCCCCGACTACCGACAGGAGCCGCGACTAGCGAGACTTTGTCATTCTTTCCCTGATAGGGTATTCTTTTTCTCTTTTCTCTTGGTGCCCAATTTCCCAGATGTATTTCTTGTTTCCATCACACATTTTTGACGCAACATCTGAAATATTGTTTACGTTTCTATCGGGTTGTAGCTGAACAGCGACGCCGACTACATGCAGTCTACATACATACATACCTTACATAGTAGACTAAGAATATTATGGGTCATTACCTGTATTGTAGGTACCTTAGGTACCTAACCTAGGTAGGTATGTAGGTACCTAAGGTAAGTTTCTAACGTCAACTTCTCTAGACATGGTTAGTATCTCGTAGCCTCCATGACCCATGTCAGCTACTTCTCCCTTTCTCCACGATTTCCCACGATGAATCTCATCCACCCTGCGTTTTTGGTCCCAGCTCTAGAATCCTAGCACTTCTAAATTGCTCTCTGGTTGGCTAAAAGAGCTGGTAAGTTAACCTAACCTGCACCCCTTTTCTATATTGCCCAATCACGTTCCTTAACGGCCGCCGTGTCTCACTTCGAGGCGAATCCTTTACAAGACTTACCGCGATTTCTGGGGTAATGAGGTGAGTTTGGCGGTAATCGGCATCGCATCACGGGATACAGCAGAACGCATATCTACGGCTCCTACGATCACACTCGGTCGAGTGACTATTAGCCTGTGTGGTTCGTGGAAAGTTGCCTTACCTACCTGCCATTTGCTACACGTGCAGATAATCAGAAGCAGGCAGCTTTGCAGACGGGACGTCGCAAGCTGCCCACTTTCTTTGCTTTAGCTATCTCGGCATCGGAACCGACGAGTCTCAAGGCACGAGCTCAAGCAAGCGAGTTCGGCTAACCGCGCCCGAGGCCGCAGGATACCGAGAAGTAATCTGATGACCTGTTGGCAAACTGACGCCGGCTTACCGCAAGGGATTCGCCGTGGTGCGGAACAAACTATGTTACGTGTCAAGCGTCATCCTTGGTCAACCGCATCATAAACAGTTGTGTCAGGCTACGCGTAGCCGCAGCTGCATTACCTTTTAGTTTATGACCTTTTAGTTTATGACCTTTTAGTTTATGACCTTTTAGTTTATGACCTTTTAGTTTATTACCTTTTGGTTTATTACCTTTTAGTCATGTACAATACCTAAGGTGGTTAACCTGCGGTCTGGTCTGATGGCCAAAGTACCAAAGTACAAAAGTACAAAAAGTACACGGAGAGTCGGTGACCGCGGCCGCTTTTATTCGGAGGGTCTAGTTGGTCGAGTGACTCGCTAGTCTGCCGTGGCTTTGAGCCGCCTCATCAATCCACGTTCCAGTCCCTTGTCTGATAAAACTTTGCTCAGTCACTGCTAAGGGTTAGGTACTACCCGATAGTACCTTGATAGTACCTTTAACTGTAACTAGGGTACTAGTCTCGCGCCGGTCCACGGCGTTCGCTCTAAAGAAAAAGCTGGACCCTTAAGAGCGAGTTGCTTGTTCATCCTCCCAATCTGTCAAACGTGGGTGTGGGGCAATAAGTAATGACAATGGATAATGAATGGAAATAAGAAGCCCCCTCCTCTTTGCTCGCATATAAGCCTGACAACCCTCAAACCGCATGCGGCAGTTCCCCGTGTATGATATTATCTATAGACCCCAAATCCTACCTATGAATCCTCTCAACCGTATTGCGGGGCCGATTCTCCTGTACCACCTATAGTTCGTTCCTATAAGGACGTTTCAGCTAATTGATTACTATATTACGCATCGATCACGCGCACACCCTCACGAGGAGTTGGAATAATTACTGCATCAAGTAACCCATCCTACTCACAGAACCCCTATAGCCTACAGGGCTATACGTAGGCAATCATGCCGGGCAGGACGAGCCATACCCCAACTATTTATTACGATGTGCCCGTCGCCATCATACCCCTTGTCAGTTCGATACTGTTACTTATAAGGCTTTATCGTTGGCAACAATCTCAGTACTACCAATTCCTCAACCTCATCGATAGCACCATGGAGGGAACATTATCGCGAGTTTCAAACAAGCTTCAAAGCTCCGCTACTTTCAGCAAGTTTAACGAGCTCCCCCCAGAACTACGGATCAAAATATGGCAGCATGCTATGCCTGATCCTAGGACGGTCGTTGTCAAGTCTCCATACACGGGACAGAAGCAGACTCCTAGATCATTAGAAGAAGCTATATTAGATTCATATAGCCAGGGGGAAACATGGCATTCAACAACACAGATCCCCGCCCTCTTACATGTCAATGCCGAGGCCAGACACGAAGCTCTTAAGCATTACAAGCTTTCACTTGGCGTAGGCAACATACAGCCGAGAGTCTACGTTGATTTCAACCGGGATACCTTATTCTTTGGTAACTCGGAGCTGAAGCCGGAATGCTCATCATTGTGGGCTTCTACGCAAGGATTAGATCAAGCACAACGTCTTGCAGTTGTCCCCGAGGGCGCATGGCGAGTGCTACGGTGGAAGAAGGTCGATTTGAATTCGCTGGAGCGGATAATATTTGTACACGACACAGAGAAGCTCGAGTTAGGCTCTCTCCCCCAGCTAATAGAAGACGAACCACAAGATATCGAAGCGGAGTTGCTTGAGGGACAGTTACAACGTCTAGAGGAGTTGCAGTTACAGCAGGAGTCGCAAGAGAACGGCACGTTGGATCCCATGAAGAAGCGGATGCAGGCAGCCCGTGAGGAGATCGATACGCTAATGATGGTACTACCAGCGCAATGGGAGAAGGAACCAGCATTGTCGACGGCGGTGTTTAGGAAAAGCCGCGGGGATAGATGGGCTTGTTGATTCGCTATCTTGTTTTAGTGTACCTAAGACACTTGTCAAATGCGACATGTCTTGTCTTTTCTCATCTTAGGCTGTGCATCATGTGCATCATGCTGTACACCCATGAATAATTGAACCAAACAGATGTGAGAATTGTCCGTCTCTAGCTTGAGTAGGAACCAACTTTCAAACCTGCTCAACATGGAGAGCAGATCGATTGCTTCATTATGATGCTGGTAGTGACGAATCAGAGACCCTGACAGGATGAAAATCCCCTAGAATTCGATACGCCTCTAAGACATCCATACGCAATCCGGTTCGCCTTGCTAAACTTGTCTTGTCCTACCAGCCTACCTACCTGTTTACGATGCTTACGTACGCATACCCACCGATTGACTTTTCTGATGTGAATCGATCGACACGATGCAAAACGAGGTGGTTAAGCAAGGTGGTTAAGCACAGCGGTACATGTATGTAGAAACGGGGTGAGACAGGTACATACATTACACACATACCGCCCCAAGCCACAAACGACGCAATTTCCCGCCCCTATTATTTTCTCTCTGCCTTTCCCTGTTACGCAACGACGAAATGCATGGCCATCCGATGGGCAATATATCATGCAGGCCCACCCAAAGCCTGAGCATCAACGACTGCAAGTTATGAGACGAGACTACGGTACCGAAAGTAGGTATGTAGGTACTTAACATACTATGCATACCTAGGTACCTACCTACCTACATATCTAGGTATATTAGACATGTAGGTAAATACATATGTATAGAGGGCCAACGGTTTGAGTCATGATTGTCTCTTCCGCGCAAAACCCTACACGCGTCCTTGCGGGGTTCTCGGGTCCCTCATCTTAGTTTCTTTTTCTTTTTCTGTTCTCTTCACCCTTGAATCGAAGCGGCGGGGATGGGGGGGGAGGGGGGATACTGTGAAATGACGATGACCGTGGTAGATAGATTTCTCTAGGTAAGCTGGCTTGATTTCAATAATACTTAGTTACTGCATAGATTCCAATAATGTGCACACCATCCCAAATCCCAAAATAAGCCCAGATCCTAAATTCCCAAATTCATGATCTTACAAGCCCCCTTTTCCCTTTTGGGGCCGATCCTCCCGAGACTAATTCGAGGATTTTGCCTTCGGTGAGAATAACGAGGGTGGGATGCATTTATGTACTATGTAGGTTATTCCCGCGGAACAGAGGTAGGTCACACTGCGTCCATGCCATGTACGTAGTAAGGCCATCCATCAACTTCCCCTTCGGTGCCGGTAAGGCGCGTACCGGCTCCGGGCTGTGGACCCGGCCGCAGATCGTAGCGGCATGTACTTGGGTACTGTATGTCAGCCTACCTACCTAGGTACCTACTTACATGTAGATATCTTCCTATCTTACATACTACATACTCCATGTAGGACTTAGTGCATACATTCTTCCACCCCTAAACCTGGGGTACAAGTCTTACAGCTTACTCTTCGCGCTCGTATCGACATACGAGCTCCCCAGCCTCAACATCTGTACCGCGCCATCCACCATCTCGCGGACGATCTCGGCGGCAGGCTGGACCTTAGTAACGGCGCCCGCGACCTGGCCCATCAGGTGCGGGGGATCGATATCGTCGACGTCGTTCTCGAGGTCGTGCTCGATAGGCACGACGCCCTTGTCGCAGAGCTCGCGTATCTTCTGCGGCTGCGCGTGCCACCGCGCGATATACGCGTTGGTGCGCATGCGTAGCGGCCGCCCCGTGAGCACCAGCGTGCGCTGCGTATCTTCGAAGCCGCAGGCCACCACGCTTGCCTTGTGCTCCTCGCTGCTGGCTGCTTCGACGCTCGCTACGAAGCGTGTTCCGACCCAGACTCCCGCCGCGCCTTGCATCAGGCTTGCGGCTAGCGACCGTCCGTCGTTGATACCGCCTGCGGCTACGACGAGCGCGGGGCTGCCTTTTAGCATCGGCGGGTGGTAGCGCGATGCGACGTCGGCGACGGCCGGGATGAGCACCGAGCTGGCTATATCGCCCGTGTGTCCACCTCCTTCGCCGCCCTGCGGACACACCATATCCACGCCGAGATCCAGGGCCTTAACCGCATGTTTCGGGTGTCCGACCATATTCATCACCAATATCCCCGCATCATGCAACTTGTCAATCACGTACTTGGGCGGGACACCCACGGCGCTGACGAACAGCTTCGCGCCGCTCTCGATCGTGATGTCGACGAGCTCGTCGAGCTTGCCACCCGTGTAGTCGTGGTTAGTCTTGCGCGCGGACCCGCCGATCTGCGGCAGTGCCAAGTCCACGCCGAACGGCAGGTCTGGGGACCGCAGGGCGGCTTTGAGCTCCGCGATGATGGCGCGGAGTTGCGAGGGCGTGTATTGGAACCCGCCGATGACGCCTAGACCGCCGGCGTTGGAGACGGCGGCGGCGAGGGCGCCTCCTGAGACGCGGGCCATGCCTGCGAGGAGGATGGGGTGCTGGATCCCGAGGAGGGTGGTGAGGGGGGTTGTGATGGGGCCTTGGGGTTGCGGCGCCATTGTGATGGTTGGATTTGTTAATTAACGTCTATATTTGCTTGTCCTGAGCCTACAATCGTGGGTGGGAATTGTGCCGCTTTGATGTAGACTTGTGGTGTATGATTGTATGCGAGGGAGTTAAGTATAACCAGATGCTTTGCTCGAGAGCGGAGACCAGCAGTTTTATCGAACAACCCGAATTCAGCAACCTCAGACTAAGGGTGCTACGATGCAATCCAACCCGCGGTTTAGGAAGGACTGCGAGTGGCTTGGATGTTGTATAACACAAACTTTCTTTTCACTGAGTATGCGAAGTTCCGTATACGTTACGTGTTCGAGTTGTAGGTAAGACTCGTGATTAGAATGTAAGAAGTAAGTAAAGCGACGTGAGGGGTGAAAGAATAAATAAACGAAGTTGTTGAAGTTGTTGAACTTATACGGGGCCGCATGATCAAACTCGATGGTTTACGGGAGCTAAGCGCGACGATGCGAAGCGGAGAGATCTGGGGTAAACTAAAACGGTGCCGAGGCAAATCTATTTTCGGCAATGGTTTGAACAATATATGAGGTAGGTATGTAACTTGTCTTACCTGAAGTGTCAAGTCGGGAACTAAGGACCGACCTTCGAGTCTCGACTCAGCGATTTCTCATCTATTATTTACACTAAAATGTGACATTTGACGAACTTTGTTATACAAATATATTTCTAGATAGCAATATCATGTCCTAGATAAGTACATTCAAACTTGGTATCTTGTCTAGAATTAATCTCAAAATCCGAATCCCTACCAATAATAATGACATCAAGGCGTTCGCTATAGCGAGATCATTGCGCTTTACACGCTCTATAAGGCTTAGGTCGCTTTCTTGTTCTGCTAACCCTATAGCTACCATAATTCCATATTTACACGTACAGACATTGATATACAGGTAGTGAGATGGCTTCGTCGCCCGCACTGCCAATTACACGTTTCCGACATGACGCTGAATCATTATCAAGTATAGTGTCGTGGCTCATATGGACATTATCAAACCGCATCTGGTTTGAGTTTTGGTTCGTCTTAGGCCTAGTTTAAAACCCTGCGGTGGAATCCCCCGGCGTGTTGTAGACAGGCGGTGAGGGGGCATTAGCTCGAGCCGGAGTTACAAGTTGGTGATATATGGTGATGTTTCTTATCGGAAATATGGTAGTCGTGCAGGGACAAAGCCTTCTTGTGGCGGATCTTTCGGTGTTGACGATTGTGGTTGGTGAGCATCTTCCGCAGATCCAGACCCGACCTCGTCTTGTCCGTAGTCTGATCCCTTATCAAATACAGCCTCTTGCGGAACTACCACTCTTTCTACCCTGACTATTTCGGATTTCGCCTCCTGGACGGATTCGATTTGAAGATTATCCCGGCTCAGCCCTCTCCTAAGAGCCAAATTCGCAGCAACCTGTCTTTTTTTCTCTACCACTTCATTTTCCTCCCGTTCCAGCCGTTCTTCTTCCAGTCGTAAATCTTCTAGTGATGCCATTGAAAGCAGCGCGGGGCTCTCTGGAACCGATCCTGAGCCGAAGCTGGGATGTAAGGATGGTCTTGTCGAGTCCATCGTCGTCCTTGAAACACTCCTTGGTATCTTGCGGTCCGCAATCCGTTTTCCCTTGCTGCTCCTTGTCTTGTTACTTTCGCGATCATCCGCGTGATCTAGCGCAATGGTGAACTCGTCGTCTAGTGGTATTGCATCTTCTTCCCCTTCTTCGTCGCTTGGGAAAAGATCGCCCCTCGACCTATACGAATCACTAGTATCTCCACTGCCTACCGTTCCACTTCGCTTCCTACTATGCGATTGTGATTCGTTAGTGTGTGCCCCATCGTCGTCTTCGTCCAACAACGGCACGCGTTCCGTATCTAATCCCGACCTTGATGTTCCAGGGTGCTCTTGTAGATTTGCTGCACTAGGCTTGTATCTTAAAGGGCCTCCTATCTTGAACGGTAGACGGGCTAAAAATCCTAGAGGGGCGGTGCTTGGAATAATTGTCGGATCTTCTTGAATACTGGATCTCCTCCGTGGCCCTTTTGTGCCGTAGCTCATTCCGCGTTTCCTCTTCGGTTGTTCTTGAACATCACCTCCGCTCCGCTTCTTCCCGGTGCCTGCCAGTAATTGATCCCAGTCTTCACCTCGCCAGCTGCCGAGAAGTCCTCCTGCATCGTCACCGCCTCCCAACTCTTCGTCCCAATCATCGTAGAAGTCGAAGCTATATTCGGCCCTTCCTCGCGCCCGTTGGCGTTCCCTTGCTCGTCGTGCTCGTTCTTCGCGATCGCCGAGGCAGACGGTCGAGCAGCTCTCCAGCACTGACAAGATAGAGGAGAAACATGGTGTGATGTATGTGTGACCAAAAGTCCATATCCCAGCGGCTGCGTTCTCAGTGACAGTCTCGGTTGTATGAGAGATCTGGTTCCATCGCTGCCGAAGACGAGGATCTTCGAGAAACGCCATTGTTCCGTAGCAGCGGGTGCCAAGAGGCTTTTTGTATGCAGGCGTGTCAGAATTGGCGTTACGGACACTCGATGGAGATGTTGTTTTTCTCCGGGCGGCTATCTACTAGGGGAATAGCGAGCACAACGAGCCAGCTAATCAGGTAAATGGAGATGCTCGCGTGTCGGACCTCCGGTCTGACGTCGTTCGTTTTGTTGTAGCTCAATTACCAGTAATCATGCGGAATGTGATCCTGAAGGAATTATTACCCATTTGGTAATGATAAAAAGAGACTAAGGGGTAGTCGCCTATAATGTGTACATTGTACGAGTGAGCGTGATATAGTTGAGGTTGATGCAGGTGAGATCGAAGCTTCCATACTACGTGGACCCTTAGAATAAGAAGATGTTGCGCGGAGTCGGAGCGGTGTTTAAGGGGATAGGTGGGAATTAAGAATTGGGGACTCAAGCATTTGAGCGTTTGAGCATTAATAGAGTTGCGTTGGCCCCAAAGTTTAGTAATAATAATTTGGTAAGGGGGAGAGGGAGAGGGAGAGAAGAAGGTAAAGTTGCGCGCAAATCCAATGTTGGCAAAGCAACTAAAAATACAGCCGGGAAGGGATTAGTTACGGTTAACGGTAAAAGTAAAAATAATGATAAGTTGCAATGACCTCATCCCCGAGTACCTAACATACTTAAGTTTAGGTAGCGCCTAATAGGTAAGCAGGCAGTTAAAATACTGCGGGGAGAGGAAATGTTTTTCTTAGCTTTCTTTCTGTCAAATGTTCTTAGCTGAACCGTAATCTAAATTCGAAAGTCACAAGTGGTCGATTTACCTACTGATTGTGCTGTGTTGTACAAGGTACTGTGTACCTAACGGACTAAGTCACTTACGGATAAGCCTAGAGCGGTCAAGTCAGGCAGGAATCCAGCTTCCGCTTGCAGACTCCAATGCCGCGCCGCGTTGACCATCGCAACATCGTCAATCATTAGCAAGCAAAATTCAGCACTTCTAAAGAATAGCCATCCCCTACATTACTTGACTCCGTATTACTGGCCACATCGCACGTCTCTGGCATATATTTTCATTCCATGTACTCTCTAATCTGTACATACTCTTTGTCCGCGCTTCTTATTTGAGCAACATTTTGCGCGCGAGGGCGACGGTTCTTTGTGCCTTTCCGTGCACGACTTCTTCGGTCCCCGCCCGCCCCCAGTTTGCACCTTTCCCTCTCGGCCAACCTCGATCACTTCTCACGATCCATGACAAACGATATAACAGACCCGGCGGTAAAGCGCAATGCTTAATCCCCAGATGCAGGGTGGCTGGGGAGTCGGCCAGATGCCGAACCCGCCTAGCAACCGTAAGTTGAATGGCTTTCCTTCCCCGACGATAGAAGCTATATTTGCTACGAGTGAATCCAACAACCCTCGATATCTTGGAATACATATATATTGGCACCGGAATCGATAAAGCGACTGGATCAGGCGAAGAACAAAGGTGAAGCTGGAATACGATATGATATAAAAGCAAACAAGAAAAAAAAGTGAGCATGTGAGGATGTTTAAAGACCACTGACTCTATTTCTCGAATTATAGCATTCAGCAACCCGGCGTCCACCCAACCGGCCAACCCGTTCGCTCCGCCCAAGGTTAACCCATTTTTGCAAGGACAGTCCAGCGGCGCAACACCCACGCCAAATCCTTTCCTAGCAAATTCTGCTCAACCTCCTCCTTCATCGAATTCTTCGATGCTGCAGACCCTGACCCAAATGGCGAAAGGGCGGCATGATGACTTCCGGATGCCAAGTAATATGAAGAATCCCTTTGAGAAGAAAAACGCGGACTCTGCTATAAACACGAACGGCCAATCTACCGCTCCTCCTTTTAACTTGAAGCCAAATCCATTTAGTGGCTCTAGTAATGGGCAATCTTCCAACACGCACAACCCGTTTTCGACGCCGACAACTAATGGTGCCGAAGTACGACCTTCACCTTTTAGCCAACATGATTCAACACCTAAGCTCGAATCATTCGGCCGACCTAGCTTTACACAGACATCCAACCCGACAACTACTTCCGACGACATTTCCTCGAAACCAAACCCCTTCTTGAAACCAACGCCGACACCTACCAGTGAAATCCAGGCCTCAGCTACGACTGGTGTCAATGGACTAAAAAAAGCTTCCGAATATGTGCAACCAGCGTGGCCAAAGCCGGCACAATCTACTAATTCCACACCAACGAATAGCACAACACTTACAAATCAAGTTAACGGGAAGCGAAAGAGTGGTGATGATATCCAGCGGAGGAATAAATTATCACGGAAGTCGCCAGGCCCAGAAAATGCCTATAATCAATTCCAGTCCCCTGCCCAGGGTAATAAGAAGGACACTTCGACTGAAAAGGACGTGCCAGGAAACCCGAAATTCAATCAAGATCGAGATGAGTTCGCTAAAAAGATTCGAAACCAGTTAGCCAAGGATAAAATCAGACCGCCGCAATGGCCCGAGAACCCAGGGAGCTTTGCCCAACGCCAGGCAATAGAGCGTTTTCGTGAAACTTATAAGGCGTACCGGGAAAGGGCGCGAAAGTCGCTCACGCGAGCTGGTCTGATCGACGATCCGGACAAAAGGCGAAGGCTCGACGAGGCGCTTGTGTTCAAGGGAATCTGCGAGGATATGTGTCCTGAGTGGGAGCAAGTGACTCGTATTGTCGAGCACGATATCAGAGGACCAGAAAAGAGTAGAGATGATAATGGCGATCTTGTCGCAATACCCTCACTTATGGTCAAACGACTTGCTCGTTCAGCGGCAGGGCAAGATGCACCCCTCCCCATGGACGTGCGATCCGTTCGGACCCTCTGCCGCACTTTGGATTATTTGATCGATCTTGTTTCGTCGGATGACCTATTACCGCAACGTCATAGTTTCCTTTGGGACCGAACTCGAGCCATTCGAATAGACTTCTCATTCCAGAAGTACGCTATGACGCCTGACGAGATACTGGATCAGATTTATTGCCTTGAGACCATCACTCGTTTTCACGTTACGTCGCTTCATCTTCTTTCTCAAGATGGCTTCGCTCCCACGGACTTTTCGGAGCAACAGGAAGTCGAGCAACTAAGCAAGACTTTAATCTCCCTAATGGAAGTGTATGACGATTGTGCACATCAGGGGATCGAGTGTAAAAACGAGCCCGAGTTCCGGGGGTATTTTATAGTATTCAATGCCTACAATCCGGCGCTCATGGAAAGAATAGAAGGCTGGGATGTTCGGTTTGGAAACGCCGAAGGCATAAAATCCGCAATAGCTATCGTCCAATGCATCGACAATATCCGTAAAATGCAGGGCCCTCTGCATCCAGAAACATACAGCCAACTGGCTATTGATGCGATCTCGATATTCTTCAAGCTCATCGCCCATCCGGCAGTTTCATATACCATGGCCTGCTTTGCCGAGATACATTTCAACAACGTGCGAAAAGGGATATTAAAAGTTATGAGGAAATCGTTCTCGAGGCCTCGGTTCGGCCCCAAAGACCTGACTCCGCCCGTTTTGAAGAAATACCTACACACTGATACGGAAGAAGAGGCAGTTGAGTTTTTCAAAAAGCATGGTTTTCAGTTTCATGAAGATGGGTATGCTATTTTCTCCCAAAGCACGGAGTATATCGATGCTCGAGTACGGCATTCCTTCTCAGGGGACATAGTAGAGCGTAAACGTTCTAGACGATCCCTTCCCGACGTCATTCGTACAACTGTCTTCGAGGAGAATATCATGGCAATAACTAGCTCAGATGAATCTTCCGAGGAAAGCTTATTTGTCAGTGATTCCCAAGACGTCCCCCCAGCGGATAACAGCCGTCAAGGGCACGAGAAACCTGATGGATATGGTCGCCAGGCAGAAGGCAGTCAACCTACCCCATCTCCCGGCCCCCTGACCGCAGCAAGCCCATATGCTCCTCTGCAAACCTTTGGGAACCATACTATCACCAAGCCGACAACTACCGTTCCCTTTAAGCAGTCTCCCTCTCCACCACCCCCCAACACGATACCTATCTCTCAGGGGGTTTTTTTTACTCCAGTCTCCGCCCAAACTAGCGGAGGCTCTAGGACCGAACCCGCAAACTCCGCTCCTAAGGAACAGCAGCCTAGCTCGCTCTTTGCGCAAACAGGCAACCCTATGACCCCTAGCACTACGATCACCGACAACGATATTCCACGGTTGAAATCCACCATAACTGGTGCTAATAAAAGTTCAAATAAAGATGGGAAGGATTCCGACGCAAATTCTAAGGTTATATTCGGAGGCAATGTTTCATCAGCACAAGCAGCCCAACCCACAGCAGGCGTGTCAGATCCAAACTTCTTCAGTTTTCTAAACAGCGACAAAGACCTATCGATTCCACCGACTAAGTCTCTCTTCGCGAATCTTGGAGCAAAAGCTTCCGACTCGTCGAACAAAGATAGATCACAACCCCCTGCACCCTCTAGTTTATCTGCCACCCCAGAATCGATATCAAAATCCATTAGCTCATCAAAATCTATCAGTAGTACGGTTCAACCTACAACGGCCGGCCTTTTTTCTACACTCCCGCCACTCATGAATGGCACACCCTTAGGTACCTCTGAGGCCAGTAAACAAAGTTCCCTTGCAAATCAGCCATCAATATTTTCACAGCCAACCTCAAATCCTACCTTTACATCACAACAACCCCTTCCTAAAAGCTTTCCTGCTCCTCGAAGTACAGCCCAGAAGAACCCGATGAGTGACTTCGCTCGTTGGTTTGTTTGTGCGGATAGAGGGTTAATGGAAACACATCTTCAAGAATTTGCAGTTACTCACATCTTAAAGAGCATTTGGGACGAGTTTCATGCTGCCGAAGTTGAGCGCATACAAAGGGAAGAAGAAGAAAAGGTCAATGCTGAAGTGCGGAACTTCAGAGAGAACAGTCTCAAACTGAAATACTTTTGGCGTTGGCATAATGGTTTTCGTAAACGTCAACGTATTAGACGTATGAATCAAGAAAAAGAGAAAGCCAGTCAATGGAGATTACCTGAAAATGTAGCAAAACGTGAGCGCGCTGCTAGGGAGAAGCAGAATAAAATTGTTCAGCAAACGACGGATTCGATGCTAAGGAGAAGCCAGCACAGAGTCGACGAAACGGCCCAACTAAGGGCATCAACTAGGCTAAGTCTCGAATGGAGAGGACGGGAAACAGCAGACACTCTAACAGAACTGCATGTCCAATCATCAAGTCCGGAATCACAGTCACGGAGCATCGAAGAAGCACTGCTTGCTACTGGTGTTTTTAATGGGGTGACAGATGAAAGAGCAGCAGCTCGATACGCAGCTAGGGATTATGATACTGAAACCCAGGCGAATCTGATCCAGGAGAGGAAGATGCGATTAAGGGCTGAAAACAGGAGCCGAATTGAACGCGGAGTCCATCGGCTCAAAGAGCTGCCAGAGCCGAAGATCTACAAAGAAGGGTCAAAGACAGCAATGCTCAGGGCTCGCTGTCGCGGTACTGGTGGAGATACCTTGTCCACATCAACCGGGAGCCTTCGTAACTCAACTTTTAGCTCGAGTTATCGCTCAAGTGTCGGCTATAATACCGGTCGAGTATCAAAATCCCGATCGAGAGTTGCAGATCCATATTGGACTTTGAAAGCCAGAGGGCTTGTCCGAATGCCGAACGGCGAATTCTTGCACGAGTCAATAGCATTGCCTATGTTGCGAGAAGGGAAACGAATTCCTGGCTTTGGAGATTATGGATTACCAGCTGCCGAGGAAGCACCTCCCAGCCAGTCGCCGCCACCGGCACTAAGCAGTCTATCTTCGCCATTCATACGAGCCGATGAGTTAGGAGTAAGCCAGATCAGCAGTTCACCCTCAGAGACCCGGAGCCAGAAGCGAAAACGCCGCGCAAACGAAAGCTCGCCTATAAATGGAATTGAGTCGCCTGCCAATACGAAACGAGCCAAGAGTGGAGATGCAAAAACCAGCTCGCTTACAGACGCCGATGAGCACCTTGCCGATATCGCGAATTTCTTAGCAATGGTTGAAGGGAGGGCCTCGGGACTTGGAAATTCTTGATGAGGCCTACAGAAGGGAGTTAGAGGCGTCATAATAATAATAAGTCGAGCAAATGGATATAGTCAATGGCATAAAGGGTCATAATCACTCGATGCTATTTTGGAAATGGCATTGGCACAGGATGCATCCTTGGTGAACGTGATTGGCAAGAGGGTATCGAAGAAGCAGAAAAAGACACGATAATTGAAAAAGAAATAATTGTCTAATCGAATGGGCAGACGTGGACAGCCAAATGGGATTGTTGTTGTCACCGTCATTATCGTCATCATTATCGCATCATTCATGAATCGGCGTTACCAGAGGGTCGTGCGAAAGAAGAAAAAACATCAACCGATACGAGACCATGATTTCTTGTTATTACTATTGCTACAACGGCTTCTTTTCATACCGGGATGAACCTTTCCGGCCGGCAAAGTTAGGCCTTTTATTTATTTATCAATTGTATACTTGAGATACCCGTAGGTGTAGTAGGGACCCGACATTGCATAGAAAAGGGGTTGGGTTAGGTTGGCAATTGGGAATTTAAAGAATACATACATACATACATGTACGGCACAATACACGGCATGGCGATGGGATGGATATATCTTTTTGAATCTAACCAACTTTTGTTTGACGCTATGTTATGATCTTGACGCTTTATGTATAATGTATATTCGTCTATCTACGTGAAAAATTACACAACAGGGCTCATGTCCAGTGCATATTGTACTAATCATTTGGTATAGATACCGGGACTACATCAGCACATGCAATAACTGTTAAAATCACAATATTGTATGAAAGAACCTCTCGTGGGCAACAGTTTTTTTTTGGTCTTTTGCTCTGGACATTTACTATGCCAGTGACCGCACATATAAGTTGTTCACGACAACATGCCGACTAGGACAATGAATTGTAACGCCTTATATCACTTTATGTAAATAAGCAGATTGCCAATTGAACTACTAGTAATCTATATGATAATACGAGTAGCTTGGCAATACTCCCTGAATATCTAAAAGATCCATTGAAAAAGAATCATAGGTCGGGTTAACCAATTATGTACGCCATCTAACTTAGTTCCGCTTTCCTAATGGGTATACAACCAGTCTATGTATCGCTTAGAAGAAAAATGTTGTTGTTTTCCGTAAATCATTAATCACGAAGAAAAGTCTCACTAATTGAGTCTCCCACTTCTTCCTCACACCATTTCCCTATCTCGTTCGGAGCGGTCGACACTCCGCCTCATCGTCATCGATCGTCCAAACATATTCCGATGGATGCTGCGGCCGGTGCCGGTTCCGTTAGAAGGCAGCCTTTCCAGCTGCTCTTTGCTGTTGTTCCTAGAGCCGCTAGATTCGACATACTCCTCGTTGATGCGCGGAGGATGGTTGATACCGGAATTACTCGGCCTACGGGCCACGAAAACGTCCTGGAAAATGTCACCTGTAGTATCCTGAGTATGTGAGTTGGCACGTCGACGGGTAGCAGTCAGCATTGCAGGATTTACTGAAGGCGCACGGTCTTCATACGACGGGGGTTGAATGTTGGATTGGAAGACGGGCCAGTCTTGTCCAGAAATTTGGTACTGCCGACGAGGCTGTTCGATACCGAGCGCCACCATCTGGTCCATCAGCTCAATAGCAAACTTATTGTGACGGGTGAGACGGGTCAGTTCGTTTTGGAAACTCGTCTTGTGGAAACAGATAAAGTTGACCGTCATGCAGTACGCATCTTCGAAACTTACAAGCTCCGTAAGGATCTTGCTAGTGAAATCGCGCTTGTTGTCCATTACGTACTCCGTCATTCGAGCCTCGAGCTCTTTTATGACGCTAGACGGGGTACCATATCTCATTCGAAGTTCGAACACATCGGCCAAAGTACCACTACGTCGGTGGTTAAGGATAAATATCGTGTTGAGAACGGAATTGGGAGCCTGGACGATGTGACCCTGCATTTTCTTGAATTCAGTATAGAGTAACGATATTTCAGTTACATAGTAGTCGTCGCCTCTCATTAAGGATCCAGTGTTGCCGTAGATGGTGACTCGGTCGCCAACGTCAAACGGGTGCTTGACGAAAACGAAAATAATTGACTGCAGGAACTCCTGGGCGGTAGCTTGAAGTACCCACGCGAGACCCAGAACGGCAGTGCCCGCAGAGGCCAGAGCCGCGGCTGTAGAAGAAGAGATGATCGAGATAAATACAATGATTGTAATGACGAGGATAATGAAAAAGAAGACCCTATCTAGTTTTGTGATGACAGAATCTAAGTCCTTGAGCGAAGCTGCAATAGCTTTCTTCTCTCGATGAACCTCATCACAAAACGCTTCAAGCTCGTCCATTGAGACATCCCCATTCAAATCGCGATCAAACACACTGAAGGCAGCCTCTGCGTCGTCAATAGAAGGAAAAGCCGGGTTCAAGTCATGCGGTGTTAAGACATCGGCACCAGGCTTAGCGAACGTGCGGAAAAGACGTCTGGCGAGGACTTGGGCGGAATTGCTATTTCGGAGTAGTTCAGACACGACTTTCCGCGGGTGGTTTCTGAGCTTAACTTCACGTCCGGTGAAATCACCTGCTACACGGTTGGCAATGTCGCCGACCTTTGCCATAGTATCTCGAGCGTTGTCTGAAAACATAGCCATGGGAGTCCTTGCGCCAGAGCCCGGCCCTTGGTTATCCATGACTGATGACTCCGGGACCAACTTATCCTTAGAATGCTCATAGAGATGAACTAAGTATCTATTAAGCATTAGTTAGTAATATATTCTAATAACTTGAGTGGTGAAATAAATGTAACTTACGCAACACATTGCTTGTTTGTCTCAATACGTGACGAATATGTTCGCAAATGAAAAGATCCCGCAATCCATTGGATCAAAATCTTCTCAACCCAGTTCAAGATAGCCAGAACAAAAAATGCCACGATAACCTTGTAGACAACATCGATCCAGTTTATAGGTGGGTATTCTGTGTCGGCCTCTTCAGGCACCTTGGCCTTAACCTTGTGGTTGTTGAGGATCGGGTAATGCGATATTAACGCGGCAAGCATCCAAAGGAATAGCGCAGTATGCAACTCAAGCTGACGGGCTATCTCCTTCCATTTCTTAGAATTACCGGAACCCAAGATCTTAGCAACGATGCCCACGATAACCGGCAGAATGCAGGTGGCTATTCTCGCCGCCCACAGGGAGAGCCAAAAAACCTCAAGCCAGATGCCAAACCACATTAGGTCCTCACCCCCCGGCCCTCCAATGACAACCTGTTGTTCTTTTGGTGTAAACCTCCCAAGTAATACAGGGATTAGTAAAATAGTTGCAATGGGCAAGCTGTACAAGAAATATCGAAGTATACGAGGTAGACCTTTGATTCCCTTGAAAACCTTGTTCAGTTGGTTAGAATTCTCCAGCGGTATCGTAGAAGTTTGGACGGGTTGGTTGAACACATCCTCCCCCTCGGGTTCATGACCGCGAGATTTGGAGTAAGCACGGCGAAGTTCATTCGATTCCCGGTGGCTAACCGCCTGTTCTGCCTGAAGTAATGTGAGATCGTCAACTAGTCGAGTAGCTTGGTCTCTAGATTCAGTATCTGAGAGGTGCGAATGATCCGCCGATATCCTCCCTGATTCAGTAGGAACCTGTAAGTGTTGTGGTCGCTCCGGGGGATATTTCTCAGTATATTTGTCTGGTTCGGCGGCCGTGTCTGAGACAGTTGGGGCGTGAGTTAGAGTAGAGCCCTTCTCGTCGAATTCGGTATGATTGCTTGTGTGAGGCATATTGAAATGAATCTAATCCGGAAGTATCCTATCAACCGGGGATTCAGAAGCGGTGTTGAAATTATTATCAACCAAGAGCTATCACCAGTTATCGGTACAATGACTAGTAAACATCAAGATATCCAAGCCTCTAAATCGGTCCAAGGGATAGAGAAAAGATAGAACAATAGATACGCTGTTAAAGCTATTGTTACAGACTAGATGTCGAAGGGCGAAAAGATGATCAACGAATGAGGAAGCTATTGAATAGAGCTGCTGTGACAGATCGAAACACACAACGAAGTGGTCTAGATCTGGATATTCCTGGGGCGATCCCTGATTCCCTATTAAATTATTAAATGGGTAGAAGTCGGGGATGTCTGGAGAAGAGCAGTTAATGAAACGTTGGGTAGGTAGCTAAAAAGGATGAAATTTGAATAGGAAAACGAATGTATATAGCGCTATGCCCTCGGGATTTAAGAGAGTGGATTGGACCGAGATGGAGATTTTTCAGGAGAAGATCATCGATATATTCAAGATTTAAAGATGACGCGAAACCTTGACCCACATGCTCCAACTTCGCTTTGTTCAAATTTTTAATAGGAGGGGCACTGGACCTGCCTTGGGGCTCCTTGGCTTCCAGGGCTTTAAGGGCCAACCATCACTAAATTTAGTGGGGGGCTAAGCACTGTGAATGCTCAAAAATAAAGGAGTAGGTACCGAGTTGCTACTTTGTTTAGTCATTACTTCTCTATTTGTTTACATGTACCTAGACACACCTAGGTCCACTGTAGGTACGTAACACATATACATAGGATAGTGTAGTGACACAATGCGCATGTGGATACTATACGAAGCGTGACGGACCTTACGAATTAAAAGACATTTAAAGATATTTCATGGTGGCCAGACCAGAAAACTCTTGAATGATATCTAGATCCCATCTATTTATAGATTCGCTATTGTACATGGAAACTCCAACATGTGGCTTGATATAGTATGGAGAAACAACAAAGGACAACCCTTTATATGTAAATATGAATTTGTTAAATAAAGAAAAGTAAACTACCTCGATACGCAAGATGGATGTCGGTTACCTACATTTATCGTAAGATTTAATATCTTGGTATGGTAGTGACACGATCTACAATAGCCTATCGCCTATCAACAGGCCTAATTTAGTATTAGGTAACGGTAAGGTTACTTGCATTACACAACTTCAAATTGTAAGTACAGTGTTGAGCCATACGTAAATGCACACCCCCACACCGCATACAAATCGCTCCACTATGGGGCTACGGTATGTGCAAACCCAAACCCCCATTCACTCCGCTACAATGTTGTTATGAGCCCCCAACTTTACGGTTATGGTACAGATTGAAAGATCCCAAGTGTAAGATAAAGCCTCGTAAAATAGCTAAATATTGCAAGCCATAATTGAACCCTTTATAATAGTAAGTTCCAACATGACGGAATTATAATATCATGCGAACTAACCTTTAAAAATCACATGCAAGTATAACTTGTTTCGTTTTAGTTCAAAACTACAGTACGGAATATTTACTAGTACACTGTCCGTACCAAGACCTATTAACCTATCAGATACGGCTATCAAAGCAGGGGTAGTGGGGCTCTAATAGCTTTAGACTGTAGCGGACCAGCGGGAGCGATGCCTTAAGATCCTCGCTGTGGACTATATTTCCTAGGTTAGGTAGGTATTATACGATTGGTTGATTAGGCCAATCCGCTTAATTAGATAGACAACTACACACTAAAGCAAGCCTAGAAACCCACCCGGCGATAGAGCCTCAACCAAACAGAGCCCATTTAAAGCATACCTAGGTAGGTAACCCCGGTCGTTCCGAGAGAAGAAAGATGTGTCGACGTTGTGGACGCTGTGGACGCCGTGGGCATGTGCAACCGAATCTATAGTTCACCGCATTTACATCACCATTCCCCTATTTTATTAATCCCGCGATGCGATCGACAAACTCAGCTGCAAGATACGGTAGCAAAAAGTTAAAATCCTGCTGCAAAGAAAGATGCGGGATAAAGGATATAATTGACTGGGAATAAGAGAGGTAATTTAGAAGATTAATATACAAATAGTTGCGCAAGACACCACCATTTAGCTTCCATTATCAACGCCAACTACGCCATTAGACATAATAAAGTATGATCAAATGCGAGATAGACCCTTATTGAACCTTTTTCTTATTGAAGCTATCAACACTTTGACGTCAATATCTTACCTAGCTCGGCTCAGTGCATATTTCCGGATTCCCAACTTGTCCGTCGCACGCGCAAATTGATCTCGTGCAGAAGCGCTACACTGATTAATTGAAATAAAGGGCATTAAATGCATACCTATGTACCTATTGTACCTCCTCTTCTTCTCTGCTGACATACCATCCACCGGTCAAATATACCAACCCCACGATCTACCTCTGGGTCCCCGATCGTTTTCTTACAAGAGATCCAGCGACGATCATTTACAGAAGACCCGACGTTTGTGCGTCCGTGGGACCACTGCGCGCCAAACAAATGGGTCGTCTGTCGTCATCTACGCTCAGCTGTTGCGGAACGTCTGGGGACAAGAGTCTGACACGTTGCACTGGGTGGACAGTAACGAACTGCGGGAAACAATACTTCTTATCAGCTTGTGCAGCCTGTGTGACGACGCTCTTAATTGGTTAGACAAGAATGGATAATACCGATAACTCGACGATCGCAAGTAATTGTTATATTGGAGCATAGCAGCAACGAAGGTCCAGTTAATTGGCCATGGCCAATGCGCCCATTAACTAGGTTAAACTACTTGCTATTGCAAGTCCGAGTCCAGCCGTCATAGCAGTTTAAGAACGGTTTGCCCCGAAACCTATTATTTTTATTTTTACATGTTCCATTTTGAATATCGATACTGATATTTACCTGGAAAATAAAGCTCACGTTCATGAACCCGAGTTGCAAATTTAACACACGGAACACGCTGCCACAGTTGACGTTTTCTTATGGCCCGCATAACCTTAGCATTTCAGCTAACTTGCATAGTAGGTATTTTGAAACATTTTATAAAGAGGTAGTTACATCTTATACAGCAAAATTGACTCGTTCGTGATAATGTATGCTGTTATCGTTCATTAATAATAATAAGCATTTACTTTATTTATACATTATAGGAACTTCCTATCAACAGGTTGTAAATAATGTTATACTATAAATCATACCTACCTTTACCTCCATACCCGATTACCCCTGGATTTAAGTATTAGGTATTCCCCGAAGGTAACCTACCATTACCGTGGCAATCAATTAAAGGTCCCCCTTTTCTTGTCTACCGAACAAGCTCATATCGTCCCGAGAGCTATCGAACCGTGGTTACCATGAGCGACATGGCTTAGTGTTCAATGATCGATGATATTGGAAACAGGATTCTTCTCTATGCCAACATCTATAAGTTACTCAGCTGCCGAGGAAAACGAAGGGACGCACGGCATTAACGGTAATCATATTATTGAATGACAATTAAAGACCGACCTGCTATAAGCTTTAGCGGTTTAATAGCAATGGCGTCAAAGCTAAAATACCATCACGCTGTTTTACCTGATATAATTTAAAATAGGTAAACAACCTAAAAACCACTGAAATGTAAAATAATAATCAGATTTTAATTGATTAAAATGATACATCGATAATGTGTAATAAATATGCAGCCGAACGCTCTTTAACAGGCGCACAACAGCGTTCTGGACCGCATGGCGGACTCCGCGGGGCTATGCCTCCTATCTCGATCGTAATACCGACAACCCAAACAAGCCTTTACATTGGCCTTCGCTTGAGAAATTTATTTGCAGCATAGTTCCACATTATGCGCTGCAAGCTGTGCCTCGGGAGCTCCGCATATGCACCCTTACTATAAATTTATATTCCGATTTGTCTTCCCGGGATTGCCGTTTAGTTGGTAAAAAACGACATTTTATGTACCCACGGCCTTGGCTCTGGTTGGTCTATTTATATGGTTTGGAAATATCTACTGTGTTGATCTTCTATGATAAGACAGGAACTCAAGATAAAAGACTCGGATAAATATATTGATGTATAAAGGTTAATCTTCTACAGTTGGTGTTAAAGCACCGTGTACTACAAAGTCTCTTATACACTTTAGTAAAAGTTACACCACGATAGATAACTTACAACCTACCAGATTTTTATCTAGGCTTTTACAATATTCTATAAAGTTTCTATTTAATTATATATTTAAAGTAGTTGGAAACTATCTTCTTCTTTGGTTATCTATTAACCTAGTTATGTCGGTGTGATATTTTAGGTTAAGTATTTATAACATTTATAATCTCCTTTTCATCAATGTGATCCCAAGGGTGTATTAACATAGGTATTGTTGGGATATTAGGATTATAATTAAGTATGTAACATAATCACGTATTATCACGTAGGTAAAGCCAAGCCTAAACCCTCAATCTTTTCGGGTAGCCCACACATACACAATCCATCATCCTTATAATAATAACAAATGGCAATAGCTTCATTTCATTCCTTATTTCGTTTCGTTTCATTTCCTTATTTGGTGTACACCACACGACCCCCTACCTTGTCAACCGACAGGTATATTGATATTCAGATGTTGTGTATCAAAAAGCTAATGTTGAAAGCTCACGGGCTTTATTTATTTCTATCAGCGAGACCCAGGTATGTATAATTCATGAACATGCCAAATTCTATTTTTATACAAAGATTAAGCTTACTGTTTGAAGTGCATTTGCTGTGAGATTTGTCCTAGGCAAGCAATAAATATCCAAGATAGAAGTTCCTTGCTCTTAGAGTGCCTGTCGCGGAGCCGCCGGTGTTGCCTGGAAGTTGTGTCACAACAATATGCAAGTGCAGAACAATAGCAATTAAAACCCATAGAACTGATCTGTCACTTTGAATTAGACAACTCACGTCCAATCGTTTCAATTTCTAGCTACCTGTTATCGACACTGACTGCAGACGAATTTTTCTTACACTGTGGAGAGAATATTATGCGGACAACGGCATTGATAATGAAACTTAACTGATAATTTATTTTGTTTAGATGCCCTAACAATGGCGGCCCAGTAAGTAAGACCCTTTAGCAAATACATGTCTGCACCCTTGAATTAAATCAGCAATACTGACGAATATGTACCGGAGTTACAGCCCAGAGCCCTGCGAGTCTACGGAAAATTGTATTACTACTCTAGACATTGTCAATGAAGCCCCCAATAAACCGATTATCAGCGAGGTTCCCCCTGTGACTTCACCTGAAAAGAAGATTGTTGCAGATTTAGGGAAGTATATCGAGACTTGCTACTACGGCAACGAAACAGCCCCTTCCGAGAGACGCCCGATATTTAATCAAGATGTCGGACATTATAGACCGCAGCTCAAACAAGACCGGGTGAATCGAATTATTCTATATCCTGGATGCTTCAACCCTCCGCACCGCGGCCATCAAGCCATGATTAACTGCGCCTTTTCGTGCTCTCAAGATATCGATGTCATCGCTGCGATAGTCGTCCCCGTAGGCACTACGTACTCGGAGAATCTGTCGAAGAAGTTTGAGAAAGACGTATGGTTTACAAGGGCCCAGAGAGTCCAGTTATGGAGAGGAGATAATGGACCTCACGATTGGCTCTGGGTTTATGACCGGGGTAGCGGGGAGTGGGAGTATTTCCGTAACCATCTTGAAACTGCTATTAAGACAGACGGCTTTTCTTTCGAATTTATCTACTTGGGCGGGCCAGACCACATTGGGAGAAATTACTGCAAATACAACATATGGGACTGCGATAATATGCTTGTCAGTGACATCGGGAGAGAAGCAGATTTTGTGGGTGAAGATGAGACTTTGCTTCGGATTGGGCTCCACGGGGATTGGAAGCCGATTCTCTATCCAAATAATAAGCCACATCCTTTGGAGGCTGTCAGGGAAATGGCACCTTGGCTTCGAAGTTCACTATCACTTGCAATGCTAGGACAAGGCAAGTTGGGACTCCGAAGAGTTTAATTGGTATTGACTTGAGCTAAACTATATCCTATACCTAGAATCTAATGATCGGTGGATCGCGGAATTACTACAGCGAGAGTATATTAGGATGATAGCCGGAATGCGAATCTGCTGGAACAAGCTCAACGAAGGATCGTGGGTTCGCTTTATCCCGGCTAGCCATGGCGTGATGCACATGAGCTCGACGGATATTAGGTATATTATAAAGACTTGCCCACCGGACGAGTTACTTAAAAAGCTTAAGAGGAAAGCTCTTCGTCCGGAACTTCTTGTCCAGTGGGTTCGGGAGTCTAAACACTGTAACACGGCCCCGCCAGCTTTATAAAAATAGATGGAACCATCACTCGCGGCTGTGATATTATAATGAGGGAGGAGTCTGCGCTAAATTATCGGCTTAGTATTACTATGTCCTCAAGTGCCGGAGAGACACATTTATCAATTTACAACTGATTGGTTGATACTTTTGTACCATCCATAAAATAGCATGTTTTGAATATTTTCAAGGTCTTAATTTATCATTGTAAGTGAAATAGTAGCCATATCTCTCTAGCACTTGAGGATATAGGGGATATTTATCTAACTCTGAGGTTTTTCTCATCGGGTTTACCCGGAATAAAGCTGGACCGGCACGAGGGTAGTTATACGGTTGCTGACGTCTGAATAGCCTCGTTTATCCCTGGGGTAAGATAAAAGCCGGAAGCGGAGGATTTCTTATGTCACGCGAGACTCTATCCCTCATAGAGGAAATACTTCGACGTCCTACGCACTAAAGTCGCTCCTCAGGGTGATTAATTGTATATATATCTACATAGATCGTATACACATCCGCTGGATCCTAGCGACTTGTACATGAAACAGTATAGTGCGCTAATACTTGTCAATATCGAGCTCAACTTATTCTGATATCTAAGCGTCTTTAACTTGAACAACGGCTAGATAATGGCTAGATAGAGAATTGTGTATAAAAGTAGACTATAGCTGTGCCAGGCCCGAGCATAGTATATTTTACTAAACTCGATTGTATTATACTCGGGACATAGTTTAAAGAAGAACCATTTCCTTTGTGACAACTCTCATTACTCGAATGGTTTATATTCGGAGACGGAGAATATGCAACTATGCATGTACTTCGTACGCCAATTCGGGGTAAGACAGGACCCCTATTTGAGCGCTGAACGGAGCCTATGTAGCACTGGGTATAGAGCCTCTTCAACGTCGATTAGGTATAGTGTTTCCGCGAAGGTAATTCGTGATTTGTCAAAATCTCGCTTACCATTACTACATGAGAGTCTAGAATCTATTTGTAATAATGACTTGCAGCTAAGTTGAGCATTTGTTTGATGTATGTGAGGGCGTTTGTCCTAAGCTTTGAATGACTGACCGGGGGACCCCTGCTCGAGCTGAAATGCTGATGTTACTGTAACGTAGATCTAGATCTAGAACTTCAAGGACGTTAGTGGGTAGGTAGTTATCTTGAATATCTCGTTTACTATTATTGACTTGCTATATGAATTCCCTTTCAACCTGTTATATTGGAATCATTACGGCATCCTTAGAAGCTTTATATGGTCTCCTGGTAGACTTGCTTATGAGCTTTAACGCTCGTGGGGAATTAATTACGGATTAGTAGTTTGCTTGGCAAACGGGCAAACTACTACGAAAATGGTGGTTTCGAGGTTCAGCTGCTGCACGCTATACGCCACCACCCGACGGGCCAATATCCAGAATGGTTAGGCATCATGCTAGACCGTGGGGATTGGGAGGCAACACGCCATCTCAGAAAGAAGCCTGCCAGGCAATTTTCTGTATCAGGCGTGTGTGACCTGGTCTCGAACACTTCGGGCAACAAGTCAGCTCAGGCTTTCATACTTTCGCCTAGGAAGGGTTTCCTTTGCTCTTATCATATACCGGAGGTTGCTCTGAATTTACTTCCTCAAGCTGTTCGTTCACGGAGACGCCACTTGTTCTCGTTCCAATCTGGCCTGGCCTAATTTAGTTGACACTGGGTTTTATTTTGCGTGTTTCGAACCCCTCTACCATCCAGACGACGATCCTGCCATATCGCGTATACATCTAGCCCTCTTTACCCCTCCGAGAGGGTAGTCGTTGTCCTAGGCTCGCATTTCTTGACGATGGCACATCTTCCCGAAGGATGGGAGTCCGATTACGACGGTTCTCGGTGGCTCTACCGTTTTAAAACCACCGGCCTTACGCAATACCATTTCCCGCGGCCAGGCGACGAGTTTCCCGAATTAGTAGGCATTGGTTTTGGGCCACTCGACTTTGCTCCAGGAAATGGACTCGTCAGCGAATATAAAGTTGTTCAGAAAGGCGCTCCTAATGTAACTAGCAATGACGGAAAGACGGCGCTGGCCAATGGAAAAGATGAAATGGGGGCTACGGGCTATTTTGACCCAGACAACTTTATGTACTTTGGGCTTAACGATATAAGCCCAGTCGGCAATGAGAGCAGTACCACGACCAATACGACCGCAGGATTAGCATCGCCAGTGAATAATAAGAGCAAGGCACTACTAGCAGAACTTGAATCGCCGCAAAGATGGTCACCCGTAGGATTCGTTTCCGAGCTTGCCAGCAGCGACACAGTAAAATGCGCAGAGGAGTTGGCTCCTATCGAAATGGATGCAACACAGATCGCTCAAACGCCCTTACAACCCAATATTCACCAGAATGGTGTTGCAGAATTGTCGACGGAGAGGAGTCCAGTGGAAGAGAAAGCACCGGCACAGCATCCAGTCCGAGAGACCATGAAACCCGTCGAAGAGTATCCGCTGGTTTCGGCTTCATTTGCCTATCCTCCGCTAAAAACGACTCTTAAGCCCGCGGGTGGCGTGCAAACGGAAACCCTTCAGATGGAACAGAAAGTCATCGCTTCTCAACGGCCACCGGCGGCTAGGATAGAACAGAATGAATATGAGACATGGAAACCTACACATGGAATTGCTAATGAGGAACTGAAGAATTCATATAGGAACTCTATAACGTTGTCTAGTATATCAGTTCTTCAGTCTCAAAACACAGAGCTTGGCCCTATCAACCAGAAGCGACATTCGCTTTCAGGGCCTGTTGAATCCTCAGAAGAGACTCATAACCTCCCCGGTATATTGAGACAGCCATCAGATCCTAGGACATCGGCAATCGTATCCCCAGCTCCCCCAGAAGTTGAAACTTCACCTATCCCAACCGCCCTCCAACCAGCTATTCCACCAACGAAAGCAACAAAAGATAATTCTCGACCGCAGCCTACGCAGTCTGGCATCCCAGCCTTGCCAGGATCAGGCGCGAGACATGAGAGTATCTCTTATGGTTCGGGTGTTTCTATTGTTAATTCTGGTCTAGCTCGTATTCCATCAGTGCTTAGGCCTGCTCATAACTCGAATGGCACTTTGGGGGACCAGCGCCCGCTACAGACGCATGCAGACATTATTCGTCCAGGTGCTCATCGGGTCAACACCCTACCAAATCAGCTATCGTCTCATATACCATCACCACCAAAAATAGGGGGGCCTGGAATATATGTCTTCCAGGAAATACCAATAGCGACAGAATCTATAGCCGAACAAAATAAGCCTTACGACCTTGTCACAGCCCCAGCTGACTCGAGCGGCCAAGGTTCATCTTCCCAGATGCCTCATCAGCCTATAGAAGCTTTCCATCCTATCATGGATGAGTCACTCCCTGTAGTTGCACCGCTTTCCTTATCTAGACCTCAGAAGCCAGCAAGTCCAGACAGGATTTCGAATACCAGCGCACAAGGATCAATACTTAACTCTCCTGTCTTCCATAATAAACCACAGAGAAAACCTTTAGGTTCACAGAGCACCGGAAATGCCAGCCCTACTTCTGGAACCCCTATGATGGGTTCAACTAATATTCCAATACGACCTCATCCTGCATCCCAACAAGGACTTCAATCATCTATAGGACCCCCTAGACCTGGTTCTGTACCACAGGCCCGGCCTCATTCCACGGTACCTCAAGTATCTTCCGGGAAGCCGCCTGGACAACCTACCCAAGCGCATAATTACCAGAAGCCATCAATATCGAGCTCACCACAACACTCTTCTCAAGTTTCGCAGAGCTTGTCGACAGCACATGTCTCTTTAGGTAGTACTAACTCACAAGGTCAAACGGTTATCAATAGTACATATAATGCGCAGGCGCCTGTTCAAAGACCCGACCATGGTGTACCAACTACAATTCAGGCCTCTGGTAGTTTTTCAGCTCATGTTTCGAGTCAACCAATGACTCCACAAGCCATCGCATTTAATCAACAGAGACCACCATCAAATTCTTCCCCCAGTCCAAGACCCCAAAGTAGCCAACAACCAGGCCAGAATATGCCAGTGGGAATAACTATAGGGCAACACAAGCCACAGTCTCCATCTCCTATAGCCCAACCTGTCTCTCCGTTACATAGTCAGGTTTCTTCACCGGCTCCTTCAATTGCCTCTCTCCATCGACCGCCATCCTCCGCGTCGTCACATACGTATAGTACTGCGCAGAATATTGCAGGTCAAAACCGACCGCCGAATATGACTACTCATCAGAATTCCCCTCATGTTATACGACCGACAGCGGCGCAAGCATCTCAAGTCCAAGGGAATCAACATGTTACTCAGTCACCCAGTCCTCCTATCACCGGTGGTTCAAAACCATTTCCCATGCTTCCGGGGCAGGTAAAGCCATTGCCTTCCCAAGTCGGATCGCCCCATGTTCTCGTACAGAATCAGCCAGCGCCTACTACTACAGTACAGGTTCAACATATACAGGGACAGACGACATTAGTGAAGCCTACCCAGCAGCAACCCGGAAGCCAACAGATGATGCAAGCAGCAGTGCAGAAACCGCCTCAGCAGCAACTCATGAATGGAAATCATGTACAACTTTCCGGGAACACAATTACTGGGCAGCCGACCCAGTTGATAGGGCAGCCTGGACAACCTCGACCGACTATACAGGGGGCACCGGGTCAGCAACAAACCTTTGTACAATCACCAGTAAATGGACAAAATCTTTCAACCTATATGCAACAAAGCATGGGTAATATTAACCAACTATCCAGTGGACAAAATGGGCAAGTAGTTGCCGGCACAACATATGGCGCTACTACTCAGTCGCAGATATCCAATGGGTTCCAATCCTCAACTACGCAACAATTCGCCGGTCAGTCGATGGTACAGGGACAGCAACAACTAACCCAACCCCCAGGGCTTAATTCTAATTTCCCACAAATATCCGGGCAGATTAAACCTTTCACCTCGACACAGGCAGCCGCCGCACTGTCTGATGCAGGCAAGAAAATGAAGAAATGGGCCAAGAAGACATGGCAGAATCCTGCTTTAAAACAGTCATCGGCGGCGATAGGGGGCGCAATTATCGCCGAGTCAATAGGAATGAATGGGTTAGCTGGGGCTTCTTTGGGAAATAATATATATAATAGTATGCAGAACAAGCCTCAAGGCCAACCTCAGGGGCAACTTCAAGGCAGCCAGCAACAACGGCCTCCAGGTCTACAGCATGCTTATACTACACCACCACAGACACAGGTACTTCAAGGTGGAGGCATTACATCTCCACAGACGCAGGCTATGAACCGACCTCAGTTACAGCAGGGCTTACAACCCGCCGGTGTTCAGACGCCAGGGCGGCCCCCTATAGTACAGAACCCAGGGATGACAGGAACTCCGGTGAATTATAATGCAACACAGCCAAATATGGCAAACCAACAAGCCCCTTATCAGATCCCACGGCCTCCAGTCGGACGACCGCCGTTATCTCAGATGCAACAGCAACAGCAACTACAACAACAACAGCAGCAGCAATTACAACAGCAGCAACTACAACAACTACAACAACAGCGACTACAACAGCAGATGCAACAACAGATACAACAATCTGTCGCCTTTGGGCAATCAGTATTCCAGGGGCCTTCCGGTCAGCCTCTCTACCAAGTCCGCCCTAATCAGGCCGCCTACCAAATGCCCCCTGGTCAGCCTGGATATCAAGGGCAAGGGCAAGAGGCTGCAGATCCTTACGCAGCCATAGGCGCCACGATCGGAGGTGCTCTAACTGCTTTTGCTGGAAATAAAACTGATACGCCGGCTTCTACAGCTCAACAGCATCAAGCTGCAAATACTGAGCAGCATCATACTCAACATTCCGAGCCGCAGCACGAAACTTATTCTGAGCAACAACATGGGGGACAATCCGAACAGCACCATGCAGAACAGTCTGAGCAGAACCATGGAGGTTACTCCGAGCAGCAATATACGAATCAGTCAGAGCAACACCAAGAGTCTCACTATGGACATCATCAAGAAGCACAGGGCGAAGCCCATCAACAGGCTTACGCCGAGCAAAACTACACAAATCATGATCAACAGCAAAATAACGGCTACACCAACGAAGACCGCCAAGCATATTCCGAACCAGCTCCCGCCGAATCTCACGCGACTTCGGAGTCGTATTACGCGCCCCAGCCGGAGTCCACCATTATTAATAACACGACAATCAACAACATCGAGAACACTGCAATAGCCGAATCAACGCAGACGAACACCAACTACACGGATAACACACAGATATCAGACACGAACCAGATGAATATGAACTACACCGATAATTCACAAGTGGAAAATACAACAAACACGGATATGACGAACACGGAAACGACTGCATTTACAGACACAGCGTATATAGACACGATGAACAGCAATACCAACACGGAAGCAACCGCATACGCGGAAGCAACATACATGGACTCTTCAAACACGAACATGGACATGAACGCAGATATGACGGCATACGCGGACACAACAGCATACGCAGACGCATCATACGCAGACGCGAACGCGATGTACATCGATGTCAACGTCGACATGAACGTAGATATCAACCAGACGACGTACATGGGCGACGAGACGTCTATGATGACGATGGAGGAGAATTTCAGCATGGATGCTGGTGCGACTTATATGGAGACGAGCACGGTGGATTATTCGGGCGGTGATTGGGGTGGTGGTGGGGAGTGGTGATTTGTGGTGTTTCTAAGGAGGTACAGATATATATCAACTACCTCAAAGATTGGGAAAATCCAGCAGGTCTTAACGCATTTATTATTATTATATAGGATACTTGTTCTTTCGAGAGGCTGGTGCGGATACCATTGTACTAGTTATATGCGAAGTGTTTGGTTGATCTAGGTTCTCTTTTATGTGGCATATCTTATATTATGATTCTCGACTTTCTTCTCATGCAAAATTATCGCCATTCATTTCCCGTCGCTGATTTCGTTTCGATAACGTCTTGTTTCGCAACCAGCTTCTCTTCCCTTCATGCTTCTCTAGGGGGTGTTGATAGGAAATATCATTGACCAATTCCTAGCATCCGTACAGCAACAAACTTTACTAGCTATTCAGCTATATAAAGTGTAATAGGTTATATATATAAACCGCTCAAGCCGAGGCTCTCAGCTACATATACCCAAAGAACAAATCTAAGTTAGAGTTTTGCGACGGAACTCAGGCCATGAAACAAAGACAGGTACCCGAAGATGCTCAAGTGATCGAATATCTTGAGTTTATTAGGCCATGGCCCTGACGCCCAAGATTACCCATATAAAGCAGGATATCCATCTCCATGAGCATTTACTACCATACCTTACATTCTATCATCATTAACGATAAACACATATTGATCCTTACAAACTCACACTATACTCATAAGAAAACATACACGAAAAAAAGGAGAAAAAATTGTTCACAAGAACACACAAGAGCGCCACACGACGAGACACCACACATTATCCTGCCAGCGACTTGTACTCCACTGTCCATTTTTCGATACATTTAGATTCACGAGACTTGGTTTTAATCAAAAGTACAGCAGGCTGTAACTGTAGAAAAACCAGCGAATACTTTCACCATGACTTCAACAAGCAACGGAAAACAGAGCAGATGGGGACCCGAGACTACCGCGATGGGGTCCACCCCAATTACGACGCCTATGACGAGCGAACAGATTGATGCATACGTATTGTGTTTACGGATCAAAGAGATCACCCAAAAATTAAACGTAGGCGATGTTGTCGACGCTAATCATCGTCGCAGATCTCCATCACCTGAGCTTCTCTACGACTCGTCAGGCAGCTCCTAGGGCCACGCGGGCGCAGCCTTGCCGAGATGAACACCAAATCCCAAGCCTAGGTACATAGTCATCCGCGGCAAAGGTTCCGCGAAAGAAGGCCGCGGCCGCGCCGGCCCACGAGGGCCCGGACGAGTCGATACTGACGCTTACCGGGAGCCTCTACATTGCCTCATCATGGCAAGGTGGAATGATGCGACTTACTACTAACACACTTACGAATTAGCGACAGAACCTGATATGAATTACTCTAAACTATCCTGGCTTATTTAATAAGTCGTTACTTCGTACTGCGTTACGTTAAGCGAATTCCTAGGATCCCTTCGTCCAAACTCCTTTAAATGGGTAGAGGTGGATGTGCAGTTCAGATGACGGTGAAGGTAATCCATCTAGCCTAGGCACCTGGGGTACGTAAAATCGAAATCAACAACAAACAAGTCAAAAAGTCAAAACCTCGCTTTACTCGTCCAAAACGCTGTGTTAGAGGGCGTGTCGCGTTGTGTCTATTGGTATCATAATCAATGTACATTGTTTTTACAGCGGATTCATATCTCACTTCAGCTTGCTCAACGTCTCTCGAGCCCGCTCTACCAGCCCTTTAGCTTTAGCCAACTCCTCTTGGCCATCCACCCTATCTTTGGGGGCAGAACCTTGCTTCAGGGCATCACCGATCACACCCTCAACACCTCGGACCGCCTTGCGGCCTTCCTCTCTTACTTCACCTTCCCAGAACTTCCGCGCTGCTTCCCATTGCTTCTGCATGCGCCTCAGGCTCCATGCGATACCTAATGCGGCAACCGCGCCAGCTTCGTAGAGCGTTGTTGTCAAAGTACTGAAGTAAATAAGCAGGCCAAGTGTAGTCGTGAGCCCCGACGTACTAAGAGTTTGCAGCGTGAGTTTTTGCGCAAGTGCTTGTAAGGCGGGGATAGTTTCTGTTTGAAGGTAACGGCGCGTGGCTGGGATATTTACTGGCCAAGGGGCTGTTGCGGGTGTAGCCGTCTTAGCATCCAACTGATTAGACTCGGCACCATTTTCCTCGGTATATGGTGGATCTGGGAAAGGTCCCAAAGCAATACCCGCCTCTTTCATTCTTCCGGCAAGAAAGATGGCATTCCTCTCTGATCCCAGTAAGAACTTTTGGCTGAGGATATCGTTCGTGAGCATCCCCACGTCATCCACGCGCCAAAATAGTTTCCACCACCCCAACTTGCGCCAGCGCCTGCTGGAGAATGCTAAGTCAAGTTGTTCTTGTAGTTCAGTGTGCGCGTTTTCTGCCCAATCATCAAGGCTATTTTGTAACACCGTCGGGGGTGTAGGTGAGAGCGTTGAAGATAATGACGAGCCGATCCGACGGGCTTGTTCTCGCTCTATACTTGCGGACGTATTCCTAAGTAATGCGCCTATGAGCTCCTTCACGGGTGGTTTAGTCGTGCCGTCGGAAGAAGACATGATGTCCGCCTTTAACCACTCGACTAACTTCGGAACATTGCTTTGGAACCAAAGATGTTCAAACTCGATGGCATTGTTAAGATTCTTGCGAACCAGACCCAATCCGACGCTTGCAATTCCAACATCGATAAGAGTAAACGGCAAGGGGGAATCATCCGGTGGTTTATAATCGGGTAAATTAACCGCAGTAGTGATCACATTTTTACTTTCTCGTATAGGTATCGACACTATCGACGCGAGACCTAAAATTCCATCTGCCACAACTAGGGCTTTGTGCACTGGTGTCGTTATAGTAGTATGTCTCCCCGTACTAGAGGTGGGAATCTCGACTGAAGGAACAAGCGCCGAATCTTCGAACCCTCCAAGAGCTCCTATTTCTTGCGCAGATATAGAAGGATTTACCTCCATAAGTAGTAGCTCTAGATTGTGTCCATTGAGTGTCGCAGACGAGACATGAATCTCATGTAGCAAGCTATCCCTCGCAGAGACTGAAATAGATCCAAATTGTTGCGGTATGTCTTCCCCAACTCGAATGATCATGGGCTGTGCTAAATTGTGTTTGGCGACTTCTCCCTCCCATTCTTCCTCGGACTTCAACGGATCAGCGAGTAAGAGTTTCAGCACTTGCTTGGCGGTCTGACTAGACTCGGTCCCATTTGTTAGACCTAGCACAGCTACCCTTATGGATTCATTGCCTGGCTGTTGCCGCAGACCATTAATGGCCAACTGCAGGCGGGGAAGGTTGACATAATTGGCTGCGTGCTTTTCAAGCTCAACAAGAATATCCTCTAATTCCTTGCGGGGATTGGCGACCACGGGATTGGAACTAGAAGAAGCCGTCGAGGCGAAACGGCGAGGATTTGGCGACTTTCGTCTCGAACGACGACCGGAATTTGCGCTAGGTCGACTCGATAACGAGCAAAAGAAACACACCGAATTCCTCTCAGCGCCCTGGGTCTTTAGATAGAGTGAACTCTTGCGCCCAATAGGCTGCAGACCAAATCGAGGAGGCATGCTGCCTCGAATGCTTGAAAGCGAGCGCAAAGTTCTGCAACTTGTACAATTTAAGCTCAGGTCTGAAGCTCCCACTAAGCTCCAAAATGCGCGGCTTCTATCGGAATAACTTCGGCTTATCTGGTGTAACCATCCTAACATGAGATTGACCGGGATTTACATAATTGACCGGGATTTAATTGACTGAGATTTAATTGTACATACTAACTAACCTATGTAGGTTAGAAGGTACTACAGAAGGCGAATCCCTGCCTCAAGTTGAACCCCGCCAATGATCTGCGTTGACTGACATTTATTCCGCTATTCCACCCAGTACATATGTACTACATTTACCCTCATTCTTTCCCTACCAAAACAACAGCCGCATATTCACCACCTTACGAACTCAAGCTTTATTCATTCAAGATTGGTCCTAGACCTAGACTTAGACGTCAACATACAAAAACCGTACATATCACAAAGATGGCTCAATCGACAGCCCACCGCCGACTCCTCCAAGAGTATAAGATGCTAACTAACAACCCCCCGGATGGTATCACGGCCGGTCCAGTCAGCGAGGACGATATGCTTCATTGGGAAGCCCTGATCCAAGGCCCCGAAGGAACACCATTCGAAGGTGGCGTCTTCCCTGCCGAACTCAGGTTCCCCAAAGACTACCCATTAGCGCCTCCCAAGATGACCTTTTTGGGCGAGATCTTCCACCCCAATAGTTTGTCCAACCCTTACTATATAGATAGATCTGGCCAAGTCCTCTCTAACATTGATTAAACAATAGTCTACCCGAGCGGCCTAGTCTGCATCTCTATCCTGCACCCGCCCGGAGACGACCCAAACCACTATGAGCACGCGTCGGAGAGGTGGAGTCCGATCCAGTCGGTCGAGAAGATCCTGATATCCGTCATGAGCATGCTAGCGGAGCCCAACGACGAAAGCCCAGCCAACGTCGAGGCGGCTAAGATGTGGCGGGAGAGCCGCGCCGAGTACGAGAAGAAGGTGCGGGACGGCGTCCGGCACATGCTCGGCCTTTAGTGGGGAGAAAATACACCACCCTCCGTCGCCAATATTATAAAACCCATTTCTCCTCGCCAGCTTATCCGAAAGGTCTTCGATGCTTTCAAGTACCGTCCGATACACTCTCTTGGGGTGGGAGTGGACTGGTAAGGTGGGTCGTTGGGTGAGCACAATCACGACACCGTGGCTACGAACTAGATTCCATCACGAGGTTATGACGATAGGGGAAAAGAGTGTTAAAATGGGCTGTAGTCAAGTTATCCTCAAGGCAAGAGAGATTACTTACTTACAACGGAGCGAGTAAGGATAGCGGGATAGCGACGGCGTCTCATCATAACTTCATAGTACGTGAAGGGATGAAGAGCTGGCTTGTTTTCTCCTATTTTATTTTTTTAATGATGCATAGCGAAGGTGTTCAAGTCGTGTATTTGCATAAATTATATATACAATATTATCACTAGAATCACAAGGACCACTACTACGTATATATTCGCATCAATGTTTACAATGATAAATTCATGCTATGGCTGAAATGCAATGCAATGCAAACCCAAATTACAATCGTTTCTGTACTCTCAACGCCTGTGCATGTACGCGCACATGCTATGCAAATTCGTAGCTGATTCCTTGCAGAATCGTCATGATGGTCTAGCTTTCCGAAAACTTTCCATGCATACCGGTAAGAAAATATGCCAGCACCCAACTCCTAAGCAGCTTGGATATCATCGCCTTACGCAGCCTCGATGGTGATGTTGGCACTGTGGCTCTGGATCTGAGTCATGCCAGAAGCCTGTGTAACTTGTTAGTCTTTGTACGAACTACATAATAGTCACGATTCCGGAAAGGAGAACAAAGGAGTACTTACGCCGACGAGATACGGGATCGCGGCAACGAGCTTGTAGTCACCAGCGGTGAAAGACTCCGGGATGGGGACGTCGATGGTGAACTTGCCGGGCTGAGGCACGTTGTCAGGGAACAGAGAGGTGTAGGAGACGCGCTGGCCGACGCAGACGGTCTCGCCGCAGTTCCAGTCCTCGGGTGCTAGACCCCACACGATGCCGAAGTCATCCCAGTTCTGGATGTAGATGGCGGCTGTGAGCGTCACGGAGACGGTCGATCCGGCTTTAGCCGAGGCGGGAGCCGCGATGTTGGTGATGTAGGCGGATGAAAGAGGGAGGGCCGCAAGGGCAGTAGCGAGAAGGGACTTGATGGAAACCATTTTGGATGATGGGGTTGATTTTGTTGTTGTTGTTTAAGTAAAAAGGTAGAGAGAGGATGTATTAGGAATTATGATGACTCGACTTTGTACAGATGAACGTAATTCTCTTGTTACTTAGGAGACCAAAATATCTACCAACCAGCCGGGCAACCATCGTCTTTTATATCTCACAGCAACCCCTCGCCCCCTTTGAGAAAAAGAAAGACAAACGCAGCTAGCCATGGCATCGCCCGTCACAATATCCAGCACGTTGTTTGCGGATAACCCGCCCACTCGGGATTCCTGCTCGGGAGGCTTTCAATACGAAGTGATCGACACGAATTAGGAGCGAAGATGCGGTATTCTCCAGAGGGACTCAGCTCCGCCTTGCTTAGCGCAGCAGCACAGCTCGTGGTCTTAACCTAGCTCGTTCGGTTCAATTCCTCCACTGCTTCGTAAAATACAACCAAACCAGACCCTGCGGGAAGGGCCCCTTTGCTTTACCATGTGGCCTACGAGATGCTTTGTTACAGTTGACGTACTTAACTTAACATAAGTACCTAGGTACCTAACTAACAGGTACCTAAGGTACATACTACCCAAGGTTGGTAACCCTTACATGTGCCGCAATGCCGGGTCATTCGGTTGGTTTGGAGCTGAAGTAAGCTGCTTTGTTCAAGTTGGGCTCATAGAGGTAATAGCCATACATAGAGGTAATAGCCGGCTGCATTGCTGGTCGATCGTAAATGGGAATTTTTAGTTCGTTCGTATGCCGTCAGAAGTTCCACATATACGTACCTAGGTACTTTCTACCGTATCACGTCTCGTCGACGTCATGTCAGGTGTCTGCTAGCAAATGAGGTTCTGTTAGGTGTTTTTATTACCTAATGCGCTTGTAGGGTGGGGAGATGCGCTAAAAAGCGCTTGGCCGGCAGCTAAACGAGGCTGTCTAGGGGACAGGTACGACGCTGTTTTTAGAATCTCCATCTACCGCCCGGCATCGCTAAAACACTACCGGATCTCCCATTAGTTTCTCTTTTAACCACTAACACGTATCTTCTGGGCATCGTCATCATCGTTATTTCCGGAGTTTTTGCCCATGAAAATCGGCATTGCTTGGAATATTCCATGTAAACTATTTGCACGATAGATAATGTGTTATTGATTATTAATTGAGAGCCGAAATGAATTTCACGCCATGATCTTATGCAGTTGCTTCCTTCAAAAGACCGAGTGAGCAATATCCTCTCTTAATGGATATCGATACGAACAGAGACGCAACGTGACATTGACAACGAGCCTCAGTGGCCTATTCCGGGCGTGGCGGGCTAGCTTATCACTGGCCCTCAATCACATCCAGGCAGAGCTTGTGGTAATGTTGTTGAAAAGAGGAACCATTTTCGGATACCTCTGGGGTTCTTATCATCTAGAGGTTGGCAGTTCTTCTTTCGGTGAACCCCTTTCGTTATTTTCCCTTAACAAGCCAAAGCAAGATGAAGCCAAAGCAAGATGCAGTAGGGTGCCACGGACATTACTCGACACACAAAGTCCTAGGAATACATCTTACCTATACTTCGGCCCCTTGCATATCAGACAGCTTAGTATGACTGCAGAACTTCAGCTCGATCAGGGCTGTGTTCATTGCTCGAGATTTTGAATTGGCCTATAACTCTACATTGAATTATCTATTAGTCCTTCTTCTCGATGATTTCTTGGGTTAGAGAATGATCGCCGCTTTCCGAAGCGTCGATCTGGAAATCCGCATGAACAACTCCTAATTTCGCTGCTTCTTTTACAGTGAAGGTTCCGTAAATATCAACTTCGTCGTACTCGCCCATCCCCTCGACGGGGAAAAGCTTATTCAGACCAAAGAAAATTACCGCGCTCGTAAAAAACCCTAAGTGGAAGTATGATGTTAGAACTTAGGGCAATACTCTCTGTATACGCCGACTATACTCACCTATGAAGAATGCCATGAAGTATAATTCGCTTAGAGCGCTAGGCGCATCAGTATCCTGCTTAACAGTGATGATCAGACCGCCGATAGTTGGGATCCAGCCACAGAACCACGCTATGATCGCTCGCCAATTAAAACCGTTCCGGTACCAGTATGATGAGCTGGTCCCGGAGTATAAATGCGACAACCGGATCTTACGTCCACGTAAAAGGAAAAAGTCGACCGCCATTAGACCGATCATGGGCGACAAGAAAACAGAGAACGAACTTAAGACCTGGATAAATGTGACGGCCCTATTCACGAGTTGCCAGGGTTGGACAATCCAAGCGGCAACAAAAGTGATGATAGCACCTCTTCGTATGTTGATGTAGCGTGGCCATAACCCAGCTAGATCAATACCACCGGCTACCGCATTACCGCAAATGTTTTCAAACATGCTAGTTAACCCAAACCCGAATGCGAGGAAGAATACTCCGGCCCGAGACGCTGAAGATCCGTTCCCATTGTCCATCATCATCATCAGGAGGTCTGGCGGGTTCCAATACACCTCACCATAGATCTTCTGAGCTGCACTAGTAGTCACTAAACCAACGAGGCATACGAGCACACCGGTTATCCATCCCGACGTAACTGTTCCGATCACGTAACTTTTCCAGCTTCGTGCATACCGGGAGAAGTCAGATCCGTTAGTGATACCCGCTGCAACGCCCCCGATCGTTTGGTTGATACCAGCCATCAAAAGCCAGGAGACACTCCACGAACCCTCTGGAAGCGCCACGCCAGTATTGAAGAGAGGACCAACACCTTTCGCAGTTGACAATGCCCATATCATCATAGCAATCATACCCACAGCGGTGTAAATAGACGTAAACAAGAAAGGAATCTTGAATTTCTCCGGTGGAATCCATAACAAGGGCGTCGACAAAACCCAGAATACAATGAAGCCGACAAACTGATCGCTGGTAGCTGGTAGGCTCTCAGGCAGAAAGCTTCGCATGTTGGCAAAAGACGGGGAAATAGCTGTCAAGCAAACAGCAGCAAGTCGCCCGCCATTCCAACACTGCACGGCGTTCCAGATAAAATTAAGCAAAATCCGCTGTAGTAAAGGAATATAGCTTGCTCTCATCCCCCACGTAAAACGGTTCTGGACTGTAAAGCCGACATGCCAATGTAGACCGCACCACTGTAACAATAATGATCAACAACTATCAACAGTTACTTACTCGATTAAGTAAAAAAAAAAAATTGTATGAGGTTTAAGTATGTCTCAAGAGTAATAAGTCATTTATCGACTTAATAAGAAATATTGACCCCCCGAGACAGACCGAAGGGAGAAGGGAATTTTCAATATAACATACGGCAATCAGAGTTGCGAAAGCGGATATTAGAAAACGGCCGATGACTATTATCAGCATGGCTTGGGGAACAGATAATCCCTGAGCTGCATTGACCGTCAGAGAACGGAAAACTAGAATCAATTATAAGGCTTACTCAAGAAGCTGCTTGGGGTCTGCCAGTTGACGATGTTCAGCGATGACAATGTCCAGAAACCGAAATAATGAAACCAGCCTAATCGCACTGTGAGCAAAGATCCAGGACAACATCGAATGATAGGTCAAACTTACCCCAAGTTCTTCTGCTCGGTGGTAAAGGGATTAAGTCACGATTGCTCCACTGATCAGTTTGTTCATGTTGACTCTCATCACCATGCAACCGAATCTTCTCCTTAACCCCCTCGAAACGAGATCTTAAGCCAGCGCCCATCGCTATACTGAGCCTTAGACCGGAATTGGTATGAATTAGGATAGAGGATATAGCCTAGACAAGGCAGTTTCAAAAGGGGCCATGCTAAGTAATATAGCACGATGCCAACATTTCACCCATTAGGGATGTAAGATATATGGACCGACTAGAGGGCCGGGATCTAGAGATAACAGGTAGGACAAAGTCGACGATGTCCCGTCAAGATGCGAATCTAGTTAGACTAACCGACAATCATGCAGCTGTGTTAGATAAAACTAGGATTAGACGAGGGAGTGTAACAAGAAAGAGGAGGTGGATGTACCTACAACATGTACAACATGTCCACTACAACATGTATAACATGTACAAATGTACAACACTTTAATCTTTACCCTACGTGCGGATCCGTCCTATCTTATCTTATCTGATCTGCCAAGCTGTGGAGTTCGATAATCCACTCCACAGGGCCCACATCAAGATCCAATCCTTAGGAAACCCCCATCTTGATGCGTTACGTTTCCATCACATTCAAGATACAAGATATACGCGTGAATTACTACCATATTATCTATTTCCCATTCAAATCTACGGAATACGGGTATTATATGTTACATAGTCTGAGAGAGAACGATACAATAATAATGCATGTGACAAAGCCTGTCCAGTAAGCGCGAGTATCATAGACATCATCTAAGTCTTGAGTCTGAGTACCCCGACAGCCCGAGAACTACCAATGCTAGCGGCGATGGACCATTTGCCCGGTCCTGCAACTTGGTATAAATACAGCTAACCGGGGCCGAAGCCGGTCTCGGTATGGATAGGCCAAACAGACGAAGAGTTCACTTTCATATCTCTCCGGAACTTCGGTCGCAGCCGAAAGACACGTATTCCTCGTAGCAACATATATGCTTTAGGTAGTCTACCTCTACCCAACTACCTATTCATCGTGCGAAAAATGGCGTCTACGGTCGGTTCTGGGAAAACTCTACGCATCGGCGTCGACGTCGGCGGCACAAACACTGATGGTGTCGTACTCGATCCCTCGCGAGTTTTAGAACCGGACAAAGGCATTATTGCCTGGCACAAGGCCCCGACCACGACAAATCCAAGTCTTGGCATCAACGATGCTATTACTACTATGTTCAGCGCGGCGGGAATCACCCCAGATCAGGTTGCTAGTGTCACTATTGGGACTACCCACTTTGTCAACGCCGTCATCGAGAGAGATGCTGCGCGATTATCTAAAGTCGCCGTACTCCGGCTTTGCGGCCCCTTTTCTAAGCATGCGCCTCCCTGCGTGGACTGGCCCGATGATATGCGTGAGCTTATTCTCGGCTATTATGCGCTCCTGAAAGGAGGCTTAGAAGTCGATGGGTATATCATTTCCGATATCGACGAGAATGAGATTAAAGAGCAATGCGTTATCATCCGAGAGAAGGGAATTAAGAGCATAGTCGTAAATGGAGTGTTCAGTCCCATCGACACTATCGAACAGCAAGAGGAGCGCGCTGCCGCCATTATTCGTTCCGAGCTTCCTGGATGCGATGTCGTCTGCTCTAAAGAAGTTGCCAATCTAGGATTCCTCGAGCGTGAGAATGCTGCCATCTTGAACGCGTCAATTCTTGCATTCGCTCGCAAAACGATTCGTTCTTTCCAGGAGCCGATTAAGCGCCTGGGCTTGGATTGTCCCGTCTTCATTACACAAAATGACGGTACAATTTTGTCTGGTGATATGGCAGCAAAGCTACCTATCCGAACTTTCTCCAGCGGTCCGACGAACAGCATGCGTGGTGCTGCGTTCCTAGTACAGAACGAACTAGATGAGGCAATGATGGTAGTTGACATAGGTGGCACAACTACCGACGTTGGTCTCTTGCTTGCGAATGGCTTTCCGCGGCAACAAGCTGCGCATAGCGACTTAGCAGGAGTTCGGATGAACTTTTCATGTCCAGATGTGAAGAGTATTGGCCTCGGCGGTGGTTCAATCGTCCGAAATGACGAGACGTTAACTGTAGGCCCAGATAGCGTTGGTTACAAGATCACCGAAGAAGCTCGGGTCTTTGGTGGTAAAGTCCTCACCGCTACCGACTGCACAGTACTTGCGAATAATACAGTCGATATTGGGAATAGGGAGTTAGTAAAAGGGGCATTAGACGATGAAGGGGTGGCAAAATTCAAAGCCGTGGTTAAGCACAAGATCGAGAAGATCATCGATACCATGAAAACCTCCCCAGAAGACCTTCCCGTACTTCTCGTAGGGGGCGGGGCAGTGATCGCTCCAGATGAACTGAGAGGAGCCAGCAGAGTGCTTAAGCCAAGGTGGTCAGGCGTTGCAAATGCCATTGGAGCCGCGATTGCAAGAGTCAGCGCTGTTATTGATACGGTGAAATCTACCGAGTCCAAGTCGATAAAACACATAGTGGATGAGATTTCCAAAGAGGCTGTTGAGAAGGCTGTAGCAAATGGCGCGTCAAGATCAACCGCTAAAGTGGTAGAAATAGATACTCTACCTCTGCCAGTAATTCACCACCAAAATCCTACTAATGAATGTCTACTAATGATGATACTAGTATATAGCTAACAAGTCAAGGTTTACCGTACGGGCTGCGGGAGATCTTGATTACTCACGCGCGGATTTCTCGACCCTTAATTTCGAAGAAACGTCTGCAGATACGGAAGTCCAAATGGATGAGTACGAAAAGGCTACCAAGGACTCAAATAAGAAGACAAAATTAGAGCCCAAGGAAGATTTGGATATTGACAGCTATAAGCCCAACGTCAAAAACCGTGTCTGGTACGTCAACGAGACAGACCTTAGTTGGATTTCCATCGGCTGCTATATCCTCGGCACAGGTGGCGGTGGTAGCCCCTATTCATCTATGATCCGCCTCAGGCAAATGCTTCGTAGGGGTGACGTGGTCCGCGTTGTAAGTCCAGACGACTTATCAGACGACGCAGCAGTAGCGACTGGTGGTCATGCTGGCTCACCTACGGTCGGTATTGAAAAGCTGAGCGGTGACGAGATGACCCAGGCACAGGAGGAGCTGTACAAAATCTGCAGTGATAGCCCAACACATATCATTTCGGTGGAAATCGGTGGTGGGAACGGTCTACAGAGCATGATTATCGGCGCAAGTACTAACATGGACTTGCCGGCTGTGGATGGAGATTGGATGGGGAGGGCATATCCCACTAAGTGGCAGGTCAGTATCTAAGTTCTTTCATTGCCCCTTTAAGTCCTAAGACTACAACATTGCGTCTCGTGCCTATTCGGATGAGATCAAGTGGAACAAATACTTTAAATAGTCGCTAACTTTAGGTCCTAACCAGACCACTCCCGTCGTTTTCAACGAACGGTCTCCCATTTGGTCACCTGTCGCAATGGCAGACGGCAATGGAAACGTGGTGGTTGTGCCGACATCTACTTCAGACCTACAGGTCGAACGCATCCTTCGCGCAGCATTAAGCCAGATGGGCTCAGGCGTAGGATTCGCCGACCCACCCGTGACCGGCGCCGAGTGTAAACGATGGGCCGTCGAGCATACTATCTCACAATCATGGCGGATCGGACGAGCGGTTGCCAAGGCGCGCAAATCGAACCGCGTGGATAATGTTGCGGAGACCATCTTAGCGGAATGCGGCGGTCCCGAGGCGGGCAAGGTGCTCTGGAAGGGTAAGATAGTCGGCGTAGAACGCACGCTTCGAATGGGCCATATTTACGGAGAGTGTATCGTCGAAGGCGCGGACGTGGTCGATGATGATGATGACACGGGCGCTAAAGCACATACCACCCCTGGTCAGCCGCAGTTTCAAGGCCGGATCAAGATTCCGTTCAAGAACGAGAATATCGCCGCTATCAAGATCGTACAGTCGGTTGTAGAGGGGGAATCCGTCGAGACGGAGGGCGAGGTGCTGGGACTTGTGCCCGACCTGATCACGGTGATTGATGCGCAGAACGGCGAGGCTATCGGCACACCCGAGTACCGGTACGGACTTCTAGTTATCGTCCTCGGTATCACAGCTAGCGAGCGCTGGACTTCGGAGAGGGGTATCGAGATAGGTGGCCCGAAGAGCTTTGGCATGGACCATCTAACGTATAAGCCTCTTGGCAAATTTGTCAAGCCTAGAAGCGTGATTGATGAGTTTGATGTTACTGGGTAGGAAGCTTGTCTGTTGAGGCGGGAGATATATGAGTTGAATATATTTGCTGCGTTGGTATAAAGCGGTAGACTAGGAGTATAATTATAAAACTCGCCCTTTTTGTATACACAAGACCAGTCAACTCAAAGACATAGATAGCCTTTAGGGGGTACTAAAGTCTCATTATCAGATTCATTTATATAATAAGTGTAAATGAGACAGCCATTGATCTCATATCCCAACTACATACGCATTGACGTCATCTCACTCGCCATCTCATCTCGGCTCAGCTCCTCCCTCATCTCATTCAAAGACCTACAAATAAAACAGCTAGTTATAAAGACATCGCGCCATTTATAACTTTCATCTCATACTCATATCAAAATCGTGAAATGTGAGAGCTCGACAGCGGATCACCACCGCTCACCGTTTTTAGCAACTCCGACGGAGCTGTGCCTCTCGGCAAAACCAGGGTCTTCTTCCGTATTGGCCGCTATTCGACCTCACGTCTTTGATACACGGAATTGGTACCTAGGCAATGCAAGATATTTCCCAGCACCGCTCGTATCCAGCGTCTCGGTCTAAGGATCCTCTTCAGATGACATTGGAGAGGACAGACTAGATCTCCTCGTTCGCAAAATGCCGTCCTCAGACGACGCGGCTCTCGAGGGCGATCGCCTCCTCGGCCCCGAGTCTGAGTCTGAGTCTGAGTGCCACTCAACAAGCCTCTTCTTCCGGATCGCCGCATCGATGTTCTCCTTCACAGTCCTGGGGATGATGGTATCGACACTCGGCGTCATGGTCCCCCAGTTCGAAAACTACTACCACCTAACCGACCTCGGCGTCTCCTTCGTATTCCTCGTGTGGCCCGTCGGGTACGTGGCCGCCGCGTATCTCAACGGCGCCATCCACCTCCGCTGCGGCCAGCGCGGGATCGCTGCCATCGGCCCCCTGTTCCACATTACCTTCACCGCAGCCGCCGTCGCCGCCGCGCTCCATCCGTCGTTCCCAGTTTTGCTCGTCGCGCTGGCGACCGGGTCGCTCGGGACCGGGATCCTTGACGGCTCGTTTTGCGCCTGGGCCGGCGGCATGGAGAACGCGAATATCGTCCAGGGGCTCCTGCACGGGTCGTTCTCCGCAGGTGCGGCCGTTGGCCCGTTTCTTGCCGGCACGGTGCTCTCGGTCGGGCATCTGCCGTGGTACACGTGGTACTACGTTCTCGTAAGTCGTCTTTTCTAAGAATACATCGCCCTTCTATGCCTCGACCACCAACAAACCCTTTAGCTAGGCGCCTCCATCCTTGAGGCCGTAATACTCCTCCTCGCCTTCCGGTTCGAGGACTCGGAGAAGTGCCGCAACGACCATCAACAGGATCGTCTACTCGAGACGCAAGCAGAAACTCGTCCCGACACCAAGACCGCCATCTTCAAGCACAGCGTTACATGGATCTGCGCCGTCTACTTTCTAGCCTACGTCGGCACCGAGAACGCCATCTCCGGCTGGATTGTAGTTTTCATGCAGCGAGTTAACCACGCATCCGACTACTTAGCCAGCCTCTCGTCGTCCGGCTTTTGGATCGGTCAGGCAGCCGGCCGTCTCGTGCTCGGAGTTGTAACCGACAGGATCGGCGTGAGGACCGCAACGACCGTCTACCTGATCGCCGCTCTTGCATTTGAGCTCCTCTTCGCCGCTGTACACGTCCCCGCGGTCTCGACTGTTACGATAGCGTTGCTTGGATTCTGCCTGGGCCCATTATTCCCAGCCGGCATCTTCATGATGACTCGTCTACTACCACGGGAGTTGCATGTGGAAGCTATCTCATTCGTAGTGTTGCTTGGTCAAATTGGAGGCGCGTTACTACCTTTCGCTCTCGGAGCTCTAGCCAACACCCTCGGGATCCGAGTCTTCCAAGTAGTGGTTTTCGCCCAATTGGTCGCCACGCTTCTGATTTGGTTCGCATTTCCAAGATTACCATAAAACACACTGCGCAGGGAGCGAATAGAATAAATGATGAGTTAATAATATCATCAATTGCTAAACTAGCTATGTTCTGAAATAGAGTGATATCGGTTCACCTATCCTCCTCCATTACCTACTTTATTTAATTCGTCTATGGATGTAAAGGATTACCGACTTAGCATCAAAATGCGCCCGCAATATATCCCCTCGTGGAAGAATGTATCTTTAAGCAAGCTAAAGTTTTCGAGCTGGCTGCAACATTACTTCTACCTCTCCTAGCAAAATTCTTTGTCTCAGAATCACCAAGTGCGACCCTATGTCAATATTTACTATAGCGAAGTGCCAGGTCTAAACACAGAGATAACCGGAGCCAGGAGCCGATCATTGTTCTCGGCCCAAGGTTGTCTCCTCCCTAGCTGCACGTATTGCATCCTTGACTCGCGCCGTCTGCTGTTGCCACTCAGCATATGCTTGGTCGCGACGCTTAGACAAACATTTAGCTCGGAAGCCTTGAGTTTCCTTAGATAATGCCTCATATAGCGTTGCGACTTCTAGGCATTTCTGTTCTACGGCAGTCGAAGCATTGCGCCATTCTTCTGTCTGACGTTTGACCAGCTTCTCTGAAATTTTAGTGCCGTTGCGTTTATACTCGTGTACGATGGCAAAAACACTTTCCTCTCGCGTCCTTAGATGCTCAAGAAGAGACTATGGCCCCATTAGCGAACACTGTCATACAACTTCATGTGAAGAGACCACTTACTGTAGAGATGAAGTGGAGAGTATCTACTACCCCGCTGGAGGCAGCCTCGACTGCGTTCTGCCATTTCGCCTCGTATCTAGGTTTTGATGTTAGGTTTCTCTGTTGCTTACCATATCCTCTTGGGCCTTTTCCATTATGGACCCCAACAAAGCCAGCAGACTCAGGGGACAGCTGTTTTGAGTCCATCCGCGACTTTGTAGCAACTTTTGGTTGGAACCATGACAGCTGTTGCTTTACGGGTTCATAGCTAGTCCTCTCGTTAACTACTTCTCGATTAGCCTCTTGGTGAAAATCTGCTTGTTCGTAACCCTGAGCGATTCTAGAAGCAAAGTCCACTGACTTTGGATGAAGTTGTGGGGCCTGAGGCATAAGATCATTTGTGTTTTTAGCTAAAGGTCTTTCACTGGGGCTCGAAGGGAATATTATTCGAGACTTCGGATTGGATACATGTTGATGATTCTCCATGTCCTTTAGGGTAGTAAGCCTCATCGAACTATCCGCTAGAGGTTGTAAGCGATCAGCTGACGAGAGACCACTTGCTTGATGTAGTTGCGACTCAAAGTTGAGAGGCGTCTGCTGAGGCCAAGATGTCTTATGGTTGAACCATGCTTGATGCTCGTCCAAGAACCGGAAATGTTCCTTGTATTTGGCGGGCTGCTGGGGTTCCTGGGGTGGGTTGCGTCCGAAGACTACTTCGTTCCCTACAATTATACTCGAAGGTTTCAAAGAATTATCCGACTTGCTAATATCTGAGCGCTTCGTAGCCTCTGCTAGGTTAACACTGTATTTTTTGTAACCCTCTGCCTCCATGTGAAGAGAATTTTGGCCATTAGCTGGAACAGAAGTCTTACGTGCCTGTTCGACATGAATGTTGAGGCCTCCTAAGCCCTCTTGCACGTCTCTTGTATAAGTCTCTCCCTGGCCAGAACCCGCGCTTTGAGCCGGTAGCAGCGATTTGACTCTCTGTACTGGGCTTAATTCTTGGTTTACTTTGCTCTTAGGTTCCTCCGAATTCTCATTGTGATCAGGAATTTTCTGCTTCGTGGATGCTTTAAGATTGGCCGAGTAATTATCTGATAGTTCTTGCTTCGGCGAGTCACTCCGTATACTGAGATGATGATTCTGACTATCATGAAGTTTGTCCAAATATCCAGGTTCCTGATGAATTGCCAGAGATCTGGGTGCTATTTGTTCTACTTCGTCTTTGGTGACGCTCGCAACAGATGCCGAAGTAGCTAATTCCTTCCTAAGAGCCCTCTGTGTACTGGCGGCTTGAGGTTCTGCCGGTGCATGACTTCGTGGAGGAGCCATATCCGTATCCTCGCTTGGCTCCGAATACCGTTTCGCAGTTGTAGCTTCGGTCGGAGGCTTTTCTAGAATCCTTTCGGGAACAGACTTTCGTTTGTCAGTTTTATTGCTTTCCTTTTTCACTCGAGTTAAAGCAATATTCTTGTCGGGTTTAGGATTCGGATTAGAGCCGGATATATCTGGTTTCTGATTCTGAGGCTTCTCAGACTCAGATGGTATAGGCTCTTCTACGTGCAGGGCTTCCTCATGTCTCGTTCCATGGAACTGTGTGTTGTTATTTATACTCTTGTTGGGTTTCTGTCCGTAAGTTCGTGTAGGACTATTCTTTGAATTTCTCAACTTCGGTTCTGATTGTATTGGACTTCGCTTCTTCTTCGAATTGGGACCTACAGCTACTTCGGGCACCTTGGATGAATGTTTGCTACTAACTGGAGCTTTTGGTGGTGGTTTATGCTCTTTTGCAGGGGACTCCGGCGGATACCAGACGTAATCATCACCATCATCACCATCGTCACTATCTTCGATTCTAATTGGCGAGGCAGGGTAAAGCTGCTTCCGGTTGTTCGAGCTCTGTTTAACCCCCGACCCTGTATCAGACATTGGTTGGGGCTTGGTGCCTTTGTTAGTGTCTTGCGCGACTTGTGCTGATGGGCCGTCATTTGACCCTCCATAAAACGACTTCTTAGGCAGTCTAGCGGTAGACGATTTTAGCTTCGCCCGTTGCCCACCGGGGGGTGGTTGAGGTTTCTGAACGGCCTTATCTAAGTTTTCAAGACCGTCATCCTTATTTCCCTTTTGAAAATGCCGTGATGTGCGACTCTGAGTTGCTATAGGCTTGGCTTTAGGGTTAGCCGCTGGGTTTTGTACACTGGTAGTATTCGCAACCTGCTTGGTACGTCTTGACGCTGTCTTAGAAGTGCTCTCGACTTTGCGCGGCCGGCCTTTTATGGCACTTGCTTGCTTAGCTTCTTTGGCAACCGAAGCATTTTGGCCGTCGCTCTTAGCTGTTGTCTGTGATCTTGAGGCCTTACTAGAGGCCTTTTTATCAGATGCCTTTTTCTTTCCACGTCGGGTACTTGCTCCTACGATATAAGTGCTGTCTGATCCATCTCCTTCGCTTTCAGACATCTCAAAATCGCTGGCGCTCTCATCCGAAATACTGATGTTGCCATTTTCTCTACCTGCTATGTGCCCAGAACTCATCGCGGGGGTTTGTATGGCTTCTGTTTCGGTTATACGGCGTGACATTATATGATCGTCAAAATCCGATGGTAAAGATGGGTGAGATGGAGAATCTGGAAGTAGCATGTCTTCAGGGCTGGGCATATAATCATCACGGGGGATAGGCTCTGTTTCTGCTTGTGCGGCGTTGGAAAAGAGACTATCAGGTATTTCCTGCGCCGAACCACCGCAAGACTGCTGTGTATGTTCGTCTTGCATAGCTGGCGACGAAGAACGTTCATCGGGATTGGAACTTGTAGAAATGATAGGGTCATTTGGGAGCTCCGAAGGCGGGTTACTCTGCGTCATCTCCCAGTTGTCGTGAGAGTTGTGCCGCCACTGACAAGACATATTTCTCTCCTCTACTACGGGTACGGTTAGTATATATAATACTATATATTTATAATCATTTGGAACCCTTCGTATATGAGCCAACATAATTGAATTGGTATGGCTTATGAAGAAATATTACCTTGAGATGAATATAACTTACAATACTGTCCATAGTTCAGGCCTCTGATCTGGTATCAAGCTATTCCCTTATAGATACGTGGGATAGATACCTGTCTGGAACGGAGGTCCTTCTCAAAGCCTTCGTTGACCGTCTATTGAGTCAATGAGATGGTCTGTATGGCGGAGTGGATTTGACGAGTACGCAGACTAGAGGCAATCGTAGAGGAAGAACCATAGATGATTGCGATATAATTGAAATCTTTGAACGTGGGTTGAACTGGTATAGTCAAGGCCAAAGGTACTCGAGATGATCAAGTCTTACGCACTGGTGAGCTAACCAGGGAGACCTGGAAATAAACTTGTAAGGAAAGTGATGGATTTCTGGACTTCAAGTTTGCGTAATCTGATCCAGGCAAAGAAGGCACAGCTTAATGTTAAAACAATGGCAGGTATGAAGTGTCTTCATGCCTTCCACTTTTACGACCGTATATATGTACCTAGGTAGCTGACTAACCCACGGATATGTATAAATACATGAAGTTGATAGCAACTGGCTAATACATACATGTACCTACACATGTGTAAGTGGCAATGATTTTGTGAAAGACTGGTACATATAGATGTCTACCTATGTATATGTAGATATATATACATATTTAATAACGCCGACTTATGTATAAGGTAAATGGTAAATGTAAGTAATGAATTATACGCTACGTTAAAGGCATCCAGGTTAATAAGATATAAGTAATAGTCAAGACTACCTAGTCTCATATAACCATTAGCAAATGCTATCATTGAGTGAGCGCAGGAAGCCCCTTGTTAAGAGAAATTCTAGGTTATAAATTAAGTAAATACCTAATTTACCTCCTGCTTCAATAACATCTACGCTTAATTGGATAGTGTTTGACCTCTGAAACCGTGTAAAGAATAAGATAGATAGCTCTGAAAGTTGTGGGATATCACGTAATAGTTTCATTAATGCATGGGAAGCCGGCAGTGTGCCGGTCGGTCTCTAAGGCCGCAGCTGACTTAATTCAAGTCATGCTAGAAGAGCGATGTTACTCGCCAGAATTCAGTAGATACATCTCCATGAATCGTTTTGTCCCGGGGATCCGCCTGAATCAATGCAACCAGCCAACGCCATGTAGTTTCTTCCAATATCGTCCAATTCCCTAACATTTATCGGACGATGCCGTCGAAGCGCTGCTTGAACCATTTTACGGTCTCGTCGCGGTTGATGCGGTGGCCGGAACCGATTCTTGCCTTGGCCCGGCGGCGGCGGGTGACGCGCTCACCAGGGCGGGTCATGCAGCAGTAGAAGTCCATGCCGTAGATACCGATGGCCGGGTCGTACTTGATACCGAGATCGATGTGCTCGCTGATACCGAACCCAAAGTTACCGGTCTCGCTGAAGTTACGCTTGCGGAGCTCGTACTCCTTGACCTTAAGGCCACGCTCAAGGATCTCCTCGGCCTTGGGGCCACGGACGGTAACGTGGACGGCAATCTTTTCGTTACGTCGGATACCGAAAGTTCGAACGGTGTAGCGAGCCTTGCCTATTGCGCGAGGGTTAGGAATAGTCGAATTTGCAGCCTGAAACCGGTATACAACTTACTGTAGACAGGAGTCTGACCACTCAGCTGTTCCAAGACCTTCGCGGCACGAGTCAATCTGTCACCAGATTCACCAACGGAGATGTTGAGGACGAGCTTTTGGATGCGGAGCTCCCGCATGGGGTTCTGGGTCTTTTCCGACTATTAACAGTAATTATCAGCAGCTGCGCATATTCACGAGCAATTCGTTATTAAACATACCATGGTGACTGGTTGGTGGTTAGTAACTATCGCGAAAAGGTTGGAAGATGTTGTTGTCTCTTGGCTCGAAATTTGGCGATGGTGAAGATGCGAAAAAGAAGCGCCCACAAAATTTCGCAGTGGTAAAAGGGTTTCCTTGCCCTACCTACCTACTGTACTTAAAATTGGAGCTGCTGAGGCTGGTGTGAAGTGTGGCTCAAGAAAAGTCTTAGGTTAGGTACATTGGTGGGGTCCGAGCTTCTCAAATCAACCTTACTAATTCGGTACTAGCGTCAACATACATAGTTCCGCTTTTCAATGGAGCTTAGTACTTCAGCCTTGAGAATGCCGCCTCGTCAATTTTCGTCCATTGAGCTCCGCCTATCTACCATATTAAAGCTTCAGACTCTAAACCTCCACCCACCGAACGCGATAGAGAATCAATAGAGACCAATTTAAAGTCATTTGGACTCGGAGAATATAAATAGAGACAACCTTCTTAACTCCCTTGAGAGGCTCCTTTGGAGCTAATCATCGCAAAGATGTCGAACAAACAGGGCAAAATGGTACGTCGTCTATCTTCACCGATTCATAGCTTCATCGTTGACATTACAGGCTGACCAAACGGATGCTTTCTAGGCCGGTTACGTACGTACCCCTTTGTCGCGTTATTATACGTGGTGCCTTGAGCTATACGCGTTCTATACTTGCTAACTCTTCTAGATCAACTACCGCATGAGGGTCACGTTGATGGACGGCCGCCAGATGACAGGACAGATGCTTGCTTTCGACAAGGTAATTAATGTTCATTCATTGGTTTAATAATCCTGGCTAATTGTCCCATAGCATATGAACCTCGTCCTTGCCGATACTGAAGAGTTCCGACGCGTAAAGAGGAAGCAAAATAAGCCTACTGCCCCTGGCGCATCTAGTTCAGCCGCATCCCAGACGATCGAAACAGAGGAGAAGCGTACTCTGGGTTTGACGATTCTACGTGGTGCTCACATCGTGTCTTTGTCAGTCGAATCTGCGCCTCCGGCCGATCCTAGCACGCGACTTGGGAAAAGTACTCCGGGTGGTTTACCTACCGGCTTAACTTCCGGTCCAGGTGTCTCGCGTCCTGCTGGCCGTGGTGCGGCCCCGTCCTCTCTTGCTGTAAGTTGCCGTGTTTCAGAAGCGCCGATGTTTTAGTATTAACATTTATTAGGGACCAGCTGCTGGTGTTGGTGGCAGTGCCCCCCCTCCTTTCCCCCAGTTTGGTGGAGCCCCTGGATTTGGACCTGGACGAGGTGGCCGTGAGTATTCTTAATTCCTAAATATCCAAGAAGATTACGTGCTAATGTTTACCAGCTCCCGCACCTGGGTTTCCCCCTGGTGGATTCCCGCCGCCAGGCTTCCCTCAGAACACTCAATTCCCACCTCCTGGCTTTAATCCTGCTGGTGGCCCTCCCCCGGGATTCAATCCTCCTCCGCGAAGATAATTTCAGAGCGAACGTTTGGTTCTAAGGTGAAGAAATCCTACCGAGTAACGAATGCAGATACCATTGGCGTTTGGGGTGGTGGCCAAAAACTACGTAATGGATAGCACCAAAAATGGCGGGGATTATATTCTGTGCTCTACATTAGTTCAGAAGATCTCGCTCATAGCTCCGTATTGGGCCTTGAGAATTCAAGGCCAATTCATTAGTTGCCGACTTGGAGGTTGAGGTTGACAAATATGTCATGAAGAGCATTTATTTATATCTTGCGTAGTAATAAACTGCATATTACGTACATGTATGTCGTTTATATGTCATCCGTATTAGATAATACGTCTACCCTTAGAGTGAATACCTATGTAAGTTCAACGTTCTATTCAGGGCCTATTAGGTACCTAGGTAGGTAGGTATGTAGGATTGATACATTATGGAAGGTAGTGTTTGCTAGAATAAGCGGGACCGGCTGATAACAGCTGGGCAATGGTTGGGTCTAAGTTGACAAGTACAAACAGTATGTGGTTAGTACGTTATGGTACATCTAAGGCCATTGTCTATTATCCAACAAATTTAGGCCCGCCAAACTGCCCCATTGGAAATTTTCCATGCGTTCCGAATCGGACTACCGACCATCTTCCCTCGCCGGCGTGCAATTTCAACGACATCACCTACCGCACAAATATTCCCTCCTCGTCCTCAATTGATATCTCGGTGGCAGCTTCAAGATGGCCGCCTTCGTCAAAGCAGTTAACGCTAAGATTCGGTCGAATCCGACTCTGAACTACTTGTGTTCGACGCGTATGTGAACCCCAACTACCCTTCCGGTGTGCGGACTTTACGCCGTCATGTCCGAGGCCATCCACGATAAGATTAAATCGGTCTTCCCTTTTCAGATCGGCTGTCTTCGAGTAGCGCATGATGCTAGATATAGCAGATAGCTCATGTGTTGCTTGGAAGCCCCGCGTTCTATACTTCTACCATCATTCTTGATTGCTGGCGCAACTTGCGATCATTCATGACACGATGCGCTACCGTCAAATTAGTAGGAACCAGCTGCTGATATAGTTCGTAATTAGATTTCTGGGGACCGGCGTCGAACTTCGGTATTCCCGTTGCCGCTGTGATGGATGCGCAGAAATCACCTGAGCTGTACGTTACCCATATACCTACTGCATTGTGTCGTGATGGAGCTCATCGAGCATGTTTCGCAAGTTGGTGAAACAACACCTCTTGCCTCCGTCTGTATTCCATAGGCAAACCCTTGTGCTAAATCACCTCTTAACTACAGAATTTCCGGCCAAATGACATTCGCTCTCTGCATCTACTCAGCAACCTTTATGCGATACGCCCTCGCCGTGACGCCTAAGAATTATCTCCTCTTCCTGTGCCATTTTATCAATGAGGGTTCGCAAATAACGCAAGGTTACCGATATCTCCAATGGCATCATTGGGGCGGCAGAGAGAAGGCTGGTGTCCTGGGTGCCGTAGAAGGAGCTAAGGAAAAGGCTGCCGCAGCCGGTGATAAGATCAAGGAAGTCGCCTCGAAATAAACTATTCCGCATATCTGGGGTGTTCATGGCGTCAACTGTCTCTTATGGAACCTGTCACCAGTGATATTATGCGTTCGGCTAGAGAAACCGGATGTTTGCTTTTAGAGTGAACTCGACTCTTCGGCAGAAGAGTTAGGGGAGGAGGAAATTGGTCTAGATAGGGCCGGACCTTCATTGAGGAGGAATTACAATAACTGTATTTCTATTGCATCGAAAAGGTTTTGAGGTCATTCTGGCGATAGCTCATTAGAATTCAGATTCTGTTCACTCCAGTTATATCAGCACATGGGTAGATCATTAAAGAAGGATAATAGTACGTTATCTAACCATTCCCTAGCTTAAACATGTTTCTAAACATCTGATCACGGTCGTTTTCGATGCATAATAGTCTATTATTATTATTCGATATTCCTGGGCATTGACTTATTCGTCTCGTAGTTGGGCCGAGCAAGCGCCTAGTGGAGATCGGTAAAACAAAGACATAACAAGCCAAGAGATTGAAGCCGTTGATATAATCGTCATTAAAATCCACGGTATGTATTTTTATCTCACTCGAAACGTGTTTACCTACCTAAGAAGCGAGCCCCAATAAAGCTAACGGTGAAAGGCCCGTTTGGTGCTTAAAGCTCATTTCCATATTTGGAAAGTATAGCAATGATACAGCTCTAGCCCCTGAGGGTAGTATTGCCAGTGCTGCAAGTTAAGGCAATAGGACTCATAAGCGGACAAGTAGTATCCACGAATTAAGAACTTCGAATTGGCCATGTCTGTTAGGCCGTACCAATCCTATCAACGTAACGGACACCCCCACGCTTAAAACAGGGAGTGCTTAGTCCATGATAGTTGGTCACATGTACGCTCTGACGACGCGTTTCGTAAATTCTAAGTTGAACTAAGTTAGAGGGTCCCATGTACTGTACATACCTCCTATATTTGGCCATCTTCCGTAGGTAGCTATCAAAGTTTCGCAGATAGTTTAGCCCTCATCACACTCATGTCAAGACGGTGTGCTTAACTCCGCAGTAGGGGTGTTCATCTGACACCAGCTAGAACGAAGCAATATTGATGGGTACCGGATACACTTGCCTGTTGCGAGGGGCCTATTAAGAAACGAAGAAAGAAGCCGGAGGATCACAATGATAGGGATTCTGCAATCCGTTCAAAGAGGTGTGGGGGGGTGTTGGATGAAACGTCAACCCAACCACAGCTCGCAGTTATCTTATATTGTCTACTATGGATTATTACGTAGCCAAGTAAGTGCCAATGTCTTGATCGGAGATAGCACTTGCTGGACCCTTTATTCAGCCTCATACAAAAATCAAACAAACATGTGACGGCAAATATGAGATTAGAAACTAAACAAGTGGTATAATTAGCAAAAAAAAAAAAAAAAAGAAAAAGAAAAAGAAAAAAAATCACGCATCGTAGCCAAAAACAGCTCCCTAGTTGTTTCGTGCCGAAGGAAAACAGTTGAGTGTTTAGAGCCAAGTACGCGGACAAGAAATATGATATAACAGAAGGCGGGTATGTGCATGAGATCCATAGCTTGGCAAGGAAAGGTACCAGAAAAGCCTTGTATTTACGTGATCGACGGCCAAGTTGTGACTCTAGTCGTCTCGCCAAGCGACTGGCGAGTAATTAATAGCGCAATCTAGATAAGCTGTCAGATGGAAGCAATACTAGGACCAAAGCCGTACAGAGTTGGCGCGCACTACAACAGACTATAATAGACACTAGACAAGCTTACACGTTCGCGTAACCCTACCTACAAGGTAGGTACCATGCGAATAAGATATTTTCTACTGCATCTCGTATTGCGGGTATGAGCCATGGCGGTAGGTGTTAGCAATATATGATTATATATTACATGTTTAATTTCAGTCAAAGCGAAACGGGCCGAGGCACAAATCATGAGGAGATGGAAGTAAAGACTTACACAGAATCTAATTATCTTCACCGCTGTCCTATAAAGAGTATCAGACTTGGATGCTCGAGCTTGGCATGTCGGTAGCAATAAAATGCGGATGCATGCAGAGCAACTGTGATATTCCTAACAGAGCTATAGTCTCAACCTATACTTATAGGAGTATACACACGATGATGTAATCG